GGATCAGCACGTCACACTGCTAGGTGTGTGACAGGGTTGGGGTGAGGGATCAGAACGTCACACTGCTAGGTGTGTGACAAGGTTGGGGTGAGGGATCAGCACGTCACACTGCTAGGTGTGTGACAAAGTGGGGGAGGGGATCAGAACGTCACACTGCTAGGTGTGTGACAGGGTGGGGGTGGGGGAGGGTATCAGAACGTCACACTGCTAGGTGTGTGACAAGGTGGGGGAGGGGATCAAAACGTCACACTGTTAGGTGTGTGGCAAAGTGGGGGAGGGGATCAGAACGTCACACTGCTAGGTGTGTAACAAGGTGGGGGAGGGGATCAGAACGTCACACTGCTAGGTGTGTGACTAGGTGGGGGTGGGGGGATCAGAACGTCACACTGCTAGGTGTGTGACAACTTGGGGGAGGGGATCAGAACGTCACACTGCTAGGTGTGTGACAAGTTGGGGGAGGGGATCAGAACGTCACACTGCTTGGTGTGTGACTAGGTGGGGGTGGGGGGATCAGAACGTCACACTGCTAGGTGTGTGACATGGTACTGGAGGGGGGGGGGATCAGATTGTCACACTGCTAGGTGTGTGACAAGTTTGGGTTGGGGGGATCAGAACGTCACACTGCTAGGTGCGTGACAAGGTGGGGGAGGGGATCAGAACGTCACACTTCTAGGTGTGTGACAAGTTGGGGGTGGGGGAGGGGATCAGAACGTCACACTGATAGGTGTGTTACAAGGTGGGGGAGGGGATCAGAACGTCACACTGCTAGGTGTGTGACAGGGTGGGGGTAGGGGGTGGGGATCAGAATGTCACATTTTTAGGTGTGTGATAAAGTGTGGGATTGGTCTGTTTGACAAGTTGGGGAAGCAGGAGGGTATCAGAAAGTTTGGCAAAATTTCACAAAAGAAAACACAGACTAAAACTCAATTTTTTATTATAAGTCAACATTAGGATTTCATACTTTCTATTTTTTTATCCTTATCAATATCATGTACCAACTTAAAAGAATTACTAGCATTACAAGATCTGGTCGAAGACGAAACTGAAAGAAATGTTGCATTCAAATGTGATGCAAACATTTCTGGCTACCTTTCAGTTTTGGCTACCTACAGTTGTAGCTGCCAATAGTTTTGTTTACCTAAAATTTGGTTAACTGCAGTTTCGCTATCTACAGTTGTGGCTACCTATAGTTGAGGCTACCTATAGTTGAGGCTACCTATAGTTGAGGCTACCTATAGTTGAGGCTACCTATAGTTGAGGCTACCTATAGTGGTGGCTATATATAGATGAGGCTACCTATAGTGGTGGCTACCTATAGTTGAGGCTACATATGGCTTAGGCTACCTACAGTTGAGCGTACCTATAGTGGTGGCTACCTATAGCTTAGGCTACCTACAGTTGAGCGTACCTATAGTGGTGGCTACCTATAGCTTAGGCTAACTACAGTTGAGCGTACCTATAGTGGTGGCTACCTATTGTTGAGGCTACTTATAGTTGTGGCTACATAAGTAGACACTATTTGAACATGACGATGAGTTTAGTGCTATTTTAATGCATGTTTTTTTTTAAATTTCTCTTCTTACATGACTTGAACATAGATCTAGATCTAGGTTTAAATCACAGCATTGATAGCGAGGCAACAGGTCAGACTCAAATTTCTTACTCTTAATGTTAACAAAAAAATTACATTCCGCAATTATATGATTGGTACTGTTGTTTAATATTATTATATATAATACGTACTTTTATAACTCCGCCATGACGATAAAAAAATACGCTGGTAGTTTTGTTGTGAATTAAAACTAAATCGAGATCTTGATTCCAGATCTACTAATAAGAAATACACAGATATTTTAACTAATGATAATGATAAAAGTACAAACCCTACCCTTTCAGTAGCATGTAGATAGCTGTCCCGGTTAAGTGCTTCTGTAGTGTGGGTAGATTTGCTTAACATTAAAAAAAAATGTATCATCTTTAATTCTCAAGATACACACAGTCTGATGCAACATTTAAATATTGTTACATGTCTCTATTCCAGCACAGTAATGATCTTCAGGTTCATTCTTTGCACAAGGTCGGTCATATGACGTCTAGGGTACTGTGTTTTTGTTAACGTATGGGAATTTGTAATTCTACAAGGTTCCTTCCCATGTTTGAAAACCTCAAGTTTAATAGAAATGCATTACATTGTATTACCTATTCCGTTTTATTATATTTATTCGATTCAACAATGACGGGAGTAGCCGTTAATATAAAACAAAGACAAAAAGTGCTGTGATATCGTTTGAGTGTCGTAGGGGTAGATGGGTGAGTAATTGTAGGGATAGGTTGGTCCGTACTTGTTTGGGAGTGGGGTCCGTAATTGTAGGGGTAGGTGGGTCCGTAATTGTAGGGGTAGGTGGGTCCGTAATTGTAGGGGTAGGTGGGTCCGTAATTGTTTGGGAGTGGGGTCCGTAATTGTAGGGGTAGGTGGGTCCGTAATTGTAGGGATAGGTGGGTCCGTAATTGTAGTGATAGGTGGGTCCGTAATTGTAGTGATAGGTGGGTCCGTAATTGTAGGGATAGGTGGGTCCGTAATTGTTTGGGAGTGGGGTCCGTAATTGTAGGGGTAGGTGGGTCCGTAATTGTAGTAATAGGTGGGTCCTTAATTGTAGGGAAGGGGGGTCCGTAATTGTAGGGGTAGGTGGGTCCGTACTTGTTTGGGAGTGGGGTCCGTAATTGTAGGGGTAGGTGGGTCCGTAATTGTAGTGATAGGTGGGTCCTTAATTGTAGGGAAGGGGGTTCCGTAATTGTAGGGGTAGGTGGGTCCGTAATTGTAGTGATAGGTGGGTCCGTAATTGTAGGGATAGGTGGGTCCGTAATTGTAGGGATAGGTGGGTCCGTAATTGTAGGGGTAGGTGGGTCCGTACTTGTTTGGGAGTGGGGTCCGTAATTGTAGGGGTAGGTGGGTCCGTAATTGTAGTGATAGGTGGGTCCTTAATTGTAGGGAAGGGGGGTCCGTAATTGTAGGGGTAGGTGGGTCCGTAATTGTAGTGATAGGTGGGTCCTTAATTGTAGGGATGGGTGGGTCCGTAATTGTAGGGATAGGTGGGTCCGTAATTGTAGTGATAGGTGGGTCCGTAATTGTAGTGATAGGTGGGTCCGTAATTGTAGGGATAGGTGGGTCCGTAATTGTAGGGATAGGTGGGTCCGTAATTGTAGGGATAGGTGGGTCCGTAATTATAGGGATAGGTGGGTCCGTAATTGTAGTGATATGTGGGTCCGTAATTGTAGTGATATGTGGGTCCGTAATTGTAGTGATAGGTGGGTCCGTAATTGTAGGGATAGGTGGGTCCGTAATTGTAGGGATAGGTGGGTCCGTAATTGTAGGGATAGGTTGGTCCGTACTTGTTTGGGAGTGGGGTCCGTAATTGTTTGGGAGAGGGGTCCTTGATTGTAGGGGTAGGTGGGTCCGTAATTGTAGGGGTAGGTGGGTCCTTGATTGTAGGGGTAGGTGGGTCCGTAATTGTAGGGGTAGGTGGGTCCGTAATTGTAGGGGTAGGTGGGTCCGTAATTGTTTGGGAGAGGGTCCTTAATTGAAGGGAAGGGGGGTCCGTAATTGTAGAGGAGGGGGGGGGGTCCGTAATTGTGCGTTGAGGAGGAGTGGGTGGGGTTTCAGATAGTGTTACGGGGGGGGGGATTGTAGGCTGATGTGTTATGTCATTTTAAAGGGGGGGGGTCTTGTTTTTTGTGCCGATATGTTGCGGAAGGTGGGGGGGGGGGTAAAAATCGTCGCAGAAGCTGACGTCATTTATAGAAGACACCTGGTACATTTCGGGTGGAGAAGCTATTTGATACTTAGTGCAACCATGTCTTTTATCTCCCTTTAGAGGTCGTCCATAAATGTCACACGCATAATAAATCTGTTGGAGTTACTGGACTTTGTAGCGTTGGGGGGGGGGGGGGGTGAAGGAAGTGTGATGGTACTCTAGTGCATTTTATTTAAAAGTAATATTAGTAACTGACTTTAGGGGTAATTTCACGTTTTTAAAAGCTGTTGTTTTGTTGTTGTTGATTTTTTTTTTATTAATTGCAAAAGAAATTGACTTCTAAACTCAATATTTATCGCGGCAGAAGTAAAAAAATTAAAAACAATTGTAAAAAAAAAAAAAAACTGCCCAACCTCTCTCAGCAAGTTGTCCCCACCATCAGTCCGGCCCCTGGCGAGCCCCCCCCCCCCCCTTCCCCCTGCTCTCTGGTACCGACTGGTCATGAAGCTGTGCCCGCGCGGCTTTCTCCCCTGCAGAGTTTCTTCCAGGCATCTCTTCGGGGGGGGGGGGGGGCAAAACCCCCCCGAAAAATTTTTACCACCCCCCCCCCCCGAACGAAATGAAATGCATATAATTTATATAGAAAATATATACTTTTAACTGTGTCCGCCCCCCCCCCCCCCCCGAAGAAAGTTTACCGCCCCCCCCCCCCCCCCGAAAATTTCAAGTGCCCCCCGGAGAAAAAGTCTGGAAGAAACACTGCTCCCCTGACACCAGACTGCAAAAATACCCGCCAGTCTGGACAAGAGCGTCCCCCACTTCATAACACTATTTATTCCGATAGCTTGTGGTGGTGGCACGTTGGAAAACAAATGTCAAAGTGTGGACGAGAGGGGAGCTAAACGACAACTTACTTCAATGGATAAGGAGTGTTCAGTGTCGAACATGTTCGTTTGAGGGGAGATAAGTCAGCCTAAAGTTGATTGAATGCCGAGGTAATCAACATCGGTTTTCTTATTCGGCTTTTTGTGTTTGTATTAGTCATTTCTTTAAATATCTCACTGTCTTGTTGTAGCTCTGTATATCTCAGTGGTCATCGTTATCTTACTGGTCAAATTTACCTCACTGGTCACCTTTCTATATATCTCACTGGTCATCTTTATCCTACTGGTCATCTTTATCTCACTGGTCATCTTTATCTTACTGGTCATCTTTATCTCACTTGTCATCTTTATCTACTGGTCATCTTTATCTACTGGTCATCTCTATCTCATTGGTCATCTCTATCTCACTGGTCATCTTTATCTCACTTTTAATCTTTATCTCACTGGTCATCTCTATCTCACTGGTCACCTTTCTATATATCTCACTGGTCATCTCTATCTCACTGGTCATCTCTATCTCACTGGTCATCTCTATCTCACTGGTCATCTCTATCTCACTGGTCATCTTTATCTCACTGGTCATCTCTATCTCACTGGTCATCTCTATCTCACTGGTCATCTTTATCTCACTGGTCATCTCTATCTCACTGGTCATCTCTATCTCACTGGTCATCTCTATCTCACTGGTCATCTCTATCTCACTGGTCATCTCTATCTCACTGGTCATCTCTATCTCACTGGTCATCTCTATCTCACTGGTCATCTCTATCTCACTGGTCATCTCTATCTCACTGGTCATCTCTATCTCACTGGTCATCTTTATCTCACTGGTCATCTCTATCTCACTGGTCATCTTTATCTCACTGGTCATCTCTATCTCACTGGTCATCTCTATCTCACTGGTCATCTCTATCTCACTGGTCATCTCTATCTCACTGGTCATCTCTATCTCACTGGTCATCTCTATCTCACTGGTCATCTCTATCTCACTGGTCATCTCTATCTCACTGGTCATCTCTATCTCACTGGTCATCTTTATATGATCCCCAAAGCTTCCCTACAGTTGTAATGAACGTTTCTGGCGCTTCCTATGAACAAGAAACAGAACAATGTCTTCTCAAAAGCTGTATTTCAGAAGTGAGTTTTCCACGAAAAACTGCTCAAGTTGGCTTTCATTATTTTGGTAATGAATGCTAATATAGATTGAACAATAGAATAATTTAACTGTTTCTGACATTTAGTATGTGTTTCCCCTTTAATGACAATGACTCAGGAATCAAATAACCAATGGCATCTTATCTGCATGTTATATGAAGCAAACTCCTGTATTTCTTGTAGAGCTGTACGCCGTTTTGATCTATCACAAAACACCGACTCTTGATAACCCCATTGTCTGATGAAAGCTAGTATTTTCAAACTGAACGTTAATCCGCCACTGCATAATCAGTAACAGCTGATGCATCGCAAAACAAAAGGCCTGGCTAGAGAAGGGGAAAAAACAGGTCTACATATGAATATAACTATAAACAAAAATAATAGCTATAAATAACATCTTCGCTAAAATAACAAAGAGAAAGGAAAACAACATAGAAGTGATATATTTCACTTGAAAGTTTTCACATTCCGAGATCACAGAAACGGGAATTCTACATCACTTGCTCTATGAACCGTCAGATTCGAGAGGGAACTATACGTTACTTGGTGCTTATGGACAGTCATTAAAGTTAAAATACACACTCGATCTTGATGGAAGCGGCTTGTGTTTTACAGATCTACACCTTTTTATCAATGTCTGTCCAAATATGTTTGGAAAGATGCGACGGTGACTCTTTCAGTATTGTTGGTATCTTGGTCTTATTTTTTGTGGACGTTGAACTTTTCTAATAGACTAAAATTTACTGATGCATCTGCTGTTGATTGTGACGCAATACGTTTAGTGTCATCAACAAGGTCGTCAAGGTGGTCTCACGAAGTTTACAGACGGGTGCTCGGAAGCTTCCTTCATGTTTCAGGCAAGGCGAAAATATACAGGAAGAAAGACACCTGTAACATTTTACTAATTCGTTTGGCATTTTTTTAAATGTAATTATTTGCGACCTATCGTCATAAGAGTTCTTGATAAGGTAAGCTTCATATTTATTAATATTATGTTTGAGCAGCTTTAAATGAACCCAGGTCATGAGCTTTCTTACAGATTTTACAGTGAACATTAATAAGCAAATACGTTAGTGGAGATAGGTGTGATACTGTCCGTGAAACATCTATTTGTCTAAACCTCACCGTGCCTAGTACTGCTGGCGAACTGTGTAAAGATAGCCAACACCAATATATTTAAGTTTGATTTTTTTTTTGATTTGTATTGTAAATATAGGGTACTAAAAGATTGCTTAAAGCACAGGAAAATAGTGTTAAAAAAACAACCAACCTTGGTTATGATAACACAATTTTAAAACCTTTCTTCGTACTGTATTCGCGGTATGGCATGTAGGTTTGTATTAATTTGTTTAGGGTTTAGCGCTGCTTATCCAAAAGACGAAACAGGATTATGAAAGACATATAAACTTCCTGATATATTTCTGTGTATGTTTAGTCTCCTTAACATATCCAAATCTGGCAAAGTAAATTGTGTTTGGTGAAGTGAGGCCAAGGGAAATATTTATAAGAATTTTGTAAAAATTCTATAGCTTGACCTATTGAATCAGCTTGGTTGAATGCAGAAACACGTCTTTCTATCACAGGAAACCACGTTAAATGAACACTGTTTGACGTGATGCGACGACAGCTGCAGCTTACAATTTTTGGCTTTTACCATTGTTATCAGAGTATCTTCCAGGCATCTCTTGGCAGCAGTAATACATTCAGTCTAAAAGTAAAAGCCAAAACGTCGGTAAGCAAGTCAACCTAACCGAAATTTGAGGGCTCTAAATGTCACGTGCATAGTGCTTAATCCGTCCCTGTCTAGCATTGTTTTTGTTGTGGTCGGGCCAATCAATAAGAAAGTCTCGCAATAAACACTTATTTCTCTAACCTAAATTTACTCTCTTGTTCATCCAGAGTGCAGTGGCGTAGGCAGGGGGGTGGGTTAGGGGGGGGGGGGGTCATAGACCCTCCCATAGACCCCTCGGTATATAGAAAAAGTATGAGGGGGGGTGCAAATCGAAAGTTTGAGGGGGGGGGGGGGTAAAAATCGAAAGTTTGAAGGGGTGCAAATCGAAAGTTTGAGGGGGGGGGGGGTGCAAATCGAAAGTTTGTCCCCGGGTAAAAATTGGAACCCCCCCCCCCCCCTTGAGACGATCCTGGCTACGCCACTGCCAGAGTGTATGTCACAGATTAAGTCCGCATTTTTCAAGGAGTGTCGATTTTTTTTAAATGTATGAGAAGGAAGCGATAACACCCTTACGATAAACCCGCCTACGCCAATGTAAGAAACTCACAAGGACATCACTAGCTGGTCGTCGATCATGTGGCAGCGGGATCATTAATTTAATCGCACATTTTACAAGTAGAGATGATTAAATTCAGTTTGTTTTCTGTTCTGCCAACAGCTCACGTGATTGCTAGCAGAAACAAAAACTTGGTTGTTTTATTTTAAATCATGTAAGCTAACACATGTGGACAAGAAGCGATGACAGAGATGGTTTTGCCGTTTACATAAAAAAACAACTCCAACTTTTGTGGTGCGTGTTTGATATTTTACTGGACATGTGTTCTGTTTTCCCTGAAAACATCTAATTTAATTGTAGATATTTTCTCCTATGTGGGATAATTGTTTATTTTTTCTGAATTGGAAGGTTCGAGGGCCTCAGGCTGCCACCTTCTCACCCCTTACCCTGTACCGCCACTGATAACAAGTAGGCCTATAACTTTGTTCGGTAGATGTTATAAAAAGTAGAACCTATAAAATTAGTATTTCGGCAGATTCCAGTCAATGGCACACTCGTTGAAGGTAGGTCCAACTTTTTTTAAATTTAAAACTTGGTAGTTTTTTTTCAGTATGGATCTTTGACCGCCGCCATTGAAAATGTGTATTGAAACCTTTTCACTTTGCTATCAGCTCTGATCCCTCTCCGCTGCAATACACTAGGTCTAACATCAAAGCGAGAAAATGTGAGTGTAACAAACGGGTTCGATTCTCACTGGTGCATTAAACCGTTTAATATCGTGTGCTGTGTTATTAAAACATGTGTTCACAAAAACTTAAGTGTATTTTGTATCAGTTATGCACAAAGAACAAATGTGTGTGTTGTTTTTTTAGTAATATTTTAGGTCACTTTATTATTTTTAAGCCTACAAAATGCGTTGCGTTTTCTCGTGGTCACATAATAAATCAATTTCATTTTCAATATACAACTAGTCTAAACTTTACTGCACGAGAATCGGAGCCTAAAAGAAAAAAAAACTTTTCTGCGACTGAACATTTTTTTCTTTCTCATAAATGGAGTATTTGAGGAAGTATTGTAGGTTATTCGTGTAAGGCTACTTGGAATTTAAAACGTTAATAAAGCGTTAATAAAACTTTCTTCAATTTTCTTATATAACATTACGGGGAATGCAACTCGGGATATAGACATGATTTTTTTCATCCATTTTTACTTACTTAAACTTTCAAAAATAGAATAGAAAAAAAAAGAATTGCGCACCATGTGAACGGCAAACAATGTGTGTATAATAGTGCGGAATATTAGTACTTTATAAATTCATATGCGTTTTTTGAGAAATCGGAAATAGCGTTAAGTACTACTTCCGGTCAACGGAAATTACTCAAAATTTGATAGTGAGCAGATAATTAGATCTTTTACTTATTTGAAATTTCGTTTATCTATCAGAAACAGTACTCAAGTAATAGGCTTTTGAAAAACCAAAAGTAGAATAAGTTTCACTTCCGGTTACCGGAAATCGCTGACAAGTTGATACAGAACTACAAATTTGATATAATACTTATATATGAAATTTCATCAACCTAGCTGTAACGGTACTCAAGTTATCGTGTTCACAGACATACACACACACAAAAATTACTAAGTTTTTCCGACGCAGGGAGATGTAAAACATTGGAATTTGTGAAAATCTCGATTTCAATTTTTTGCACGCTTATAATACTTCCTCTATACGAGAAAGTAAATGATGTATGAAAAATTGTAAAATATAGATATACTATTCAAAATCCAGTTCATAAATGTTGATTATAGTGAGGTTCTTAATGTCAGTCGGGCAATTAAAAACTTGCGCCGACAATTATTGAGAAATATTAGGATCAGAACATTAAAAACAAAACTGAATTAACGCACTTTTGATAAGTTCGTGTCTTCTGCTGTCATAAAAGGTGAATATACCCCATTAACCGAAATATGTAACTACCAAAACAACTTAAGCCATTCTCTCGTGACATTAATGATTTAGTCATCTCACTAACTCTAGACATTAACGATTTAATCAACACACTTATTCTATCAAAACAACGAACAAATTAGATCAAGGTCGCGAAACACTGACGCAAGGTATACCAAGCGAGCAGGACATGACAATATCTCAAAATTCAGGTCAGGGGAGTCGTCAGCGAGGGGGCCCTGGCCTTGGGAGTCGGCAGCGAGGGGGCCCTTGCCTTGGGAGTCGGCAGCGAGGGGGCCCTTGCCTTGGGAGTCGACAGCGAGGGGGGCCGCCTAAAGACCCTATTCTGGAGATTGGTGACGTTTTCTGTATCAGCCGCTCTCCTGCCTCGAAAATCTGGTGATGTCCCTCACTGATGTACTGACGGAATAAGGACCAATCTACTGAATCAATATAATTCAAAACAAGTTTATTTTAAATGTGTAGGTCAATCAGACATGTTGCGGCTGCTGAACTTGGACGGCCCCACACGCCAGGAACGACAACTCGGGCCAATAGCGGACGAAGGCAGGTTACTTGGGTCAATAGTGGACGAGGGCAGATTACTTATAATATATACTGGAAAATGTGCTAAAGTATTCCGTGCGCCATTATCACACTACTGCCGGGGCACAGACTCTCCAGTATAAATTTTTTAATGGCGGAAACCAACTCAATGTGATTGGATGAATGGTGTAGAAATGCATAAAAGACCAACAGTGCCACCCCAATTTATTTTATTCAAGTAAATGATTAAAAAATGAAGATAAAAGTATGAAAGTATTTTAATAAGACATATATTTTTATATTAGATCATGTAACATATATAATTCTAGAGGGGAGGTATTTTCCTCATTTTTCTAATTACATTTGCTGCTGTTGTTTCGCTCCTTCATGTGTGATGGAATAAAATTTAGAGTTGGTGTTTTTTAAAAGAGTTTTCGGTGAATCAAATTCAACCACTCTTCCTCGCTCCATAACTATCACCCTGCGGAGACAAACATTTCTATTAACTTTGTTTTAGTTTAAATCAAGAATAATATTATTGTCTGGTATTTAAAATATATTTCTACATACCCATATTTTAAACCAAATCTTGAAGGAAGCTTATTAATATTCAACTAATAAAACTGTATATAAATATGATTTAAGGTTATTACTACACAGAAAAAAATTAATTTTATGCATCATAATTATAATTAATTTTAAGGATTTTACTTAAGAAGAGTGAAAGACAAACTACATAAGTAAAAAATGAGATGAATGACATACTTATCATAATTTAAAACTGTGTGGATTCTGTGAGCTACTGTGATAACAGTACAATCGCTAAAGGCTGTTTCTATGGTTTTTTGTACAAGGTTGTAGGTCCCTATGTCTGCTGCTGATGTGGCTTCATCAAAAATTAAAATCTTCCTTTTTCTGAGGAGAGCTCTGGCCAAACACACCAGTTGTCTCTGTCCCATGCTGAGGAAATTAATAAGTTGTTTTTTTTTCAATAATTGAATCCTCTGTTTAATTAAAACTTTTTAAATTAGCCTAAAATTGGTTAAAAATGACTGGTTAAAGAAACAATGAGGTTTAAATATTTTAACTTCTTACTAAGTTTTTGTTTCTTTTTTTTATAACTTATATTAAAAATGATCATGAATAGTAAAAAAAAATCTATTGCAGTATAATTTTATATATTTTTATTTTATAAATCAGTTAGCTGCCTTGTTAGAATTTTGGTGGAAATAAATCTCTGACTAAGTCAAGGGGAGTGAATGTGTGCTTGAGCCTGCACTCACCTGAGATTCTCACCACCTTTCTCGACTAGATAATCCAGCTCATGAGGTAGCTTACTGACACAATCTTTCAGCCAACCTGCACTCACCTGAGATTCTCACCACCTTCCTCGACTAGATCATCCAGCTCATGAGGTTACTTACTGACAGAATCTTTCAGCCAACCTGCACTCACCTGAGATTCTCACCACCTTCCTCAACTAGATCATCCAGCTCATGAGGTTACTTACTGACAGAATCTTTCAGCCAACCTGCACTCACCTGAGATTCTCACCACCTTCCTCGACTAGATAACCCAGCTCATGAGGTAGCTTACTGACACAATTTTTCCACCAACCTGCACTCACCTGAGATTCTCACCACCTTCCTCCACTAGATAATCCAGCTCATGAGGTAACTTACTGACACAATCTTTCAGCCAACCTGCACTCACCTGAGATTCTCACCACCTTCCTCAACTAGATCATCCAGCTCATGAGGTAACTTACTGACACAATCTTTCAGCCAACCTGCACTCACCTGAGATTCTCGACTAGATAATCCAGCTCATGAGGTAGCTTGCTGACAAAATCTTTCCGCCAACCTGCACTCACCTGAGATTCTCACCACGTTCCTCGACTAGATAATCCAGCTCATGGGGTAGCTTGCTGATAAAAATTTTCCACCAACCTGCACTCACCTGAGATTCTCACCACCCTCCTCGACTAGATAATCCAGCTCATGAGGTAGCTTGCTGATAAAAATTTTCCACCAACCTGCACTCACCTGAGATTCTCACCACCCTCCTCGACTAGATAATCCAGCTCATGGGGTAGCTTGCTGATAAAAAAATTTCCACCAACCTGCACTCACCTGAGATTCTCACCACCTTCCTCGACTAGATAATCCAGCTCATGGGGTAGCTTGCTGACAAAATCTTTCAGGTTGGCGAGTTCTAAGCTGTACCAAAGGTCACCATCTGTTTTTTCATTGTATGGGTCAAGGTTCATGCGTAAGCTTCCAGCAAAAAGTACTGGATCCTGCATTGATGTTTATAAAATTGAAACATTTAGAATGTGTTCTTGATTAAAATAGAAAAAAAAATAACCCAAAAAAACTTTAGCTCAGCACAAAAAAGTAAATGTAATGATAATAAATCTTAGGTTGTAAAAATAGTGTCTCAAGTCAATGCCCCTTCCCCCCCCCCTCTCCAGATGAATTCCCCTATCAATCACCCCAAATTAGTAATAACCCCCTTCTCAAGAATACATTTAATTAGCTACAATTTACCAGTAAATAAAGAAAGGTGAAATGGTAGATAACTCAAAACAGATCACATTTCTTTTTACTTTTGCTATACAATCTATAGAATACCAAACAAGGAAACCAACTAACTGCAGAATAAGCTTATTTCTTCTAGCACATTTTCCAAATCTATCCATAACTCGTACTTTACATATAGGTATAGGCTACGGGTATTGTTAGCATTAAGTGGAGGGTCCATTTATAATCAACAGAGGGTAATGTCTTACTGTAGCTTGTGAGGTCAGATAATATACAGAGAGTAATTAATGGGTGGGGTAATGTATGTTGTACCTGAATTAAAATATTCATTTACAGGGGGTAATTGACAGGGTAATTGATAGGTTGGGGGTAATGAAATGCATGTTATACCTGAGTTAAAATATTCAATCTGTTCCTGAGTGTGTGTAGGCCAACATTCTTGATGTCCACTCCATCAATTTTGACTTGACCAGTGGATCCCTCAGTGAGCCGAAACAAGGCAAGCACCATGGCAGATTTACCTGCCCCAGTCCTCCCAACTATGCCAACCTGAGGGGACAAACACGACTCATTGAGAGGGGACAAACACGACTCACTGAGAGGGGATTTGAAACTGGGACAAACATGACTCACTGAGACGGGACAAACATGACTCACTGAGAGGGGACAAACATGACTCACTGAGAGGGGACTTGAAGTTGGGACAAACATGACTCACTGAGAGGGGACAAACATGACTCACTGAGTGGGGACTTGATGTTGGGACAAACATGACTCACTGAGAGGGGACAAACATGACTCACTGAGAGGGGACTTGAAGTTGGGACAAACATGACTCACTGAGAGGGGACGAAGTTGGGACAAACATGACTCACTGAGAGGGGACTTGAAGTTGGGACAAACATGACTCACTGAGTGGGGACAAACATGACTCACTGAGTGGGGACTTGAAGTTGGGACAAACATGACTCACTGAGTGGGGACTTGAAGTTGGGACAAACATGACTCACTGAGAGGGGACAAACACGACTCACTGAGAGGGGACTTGATGTTGGGACAAACATGACTCACTGAGAGGGGACAAACATGACTCACTGAGAGGGGATTGAAGTTGGGACAAACATGACTCACTGAGAGGGGACAAACATGACTCACTGAGTGGGGACTTGATGTTGGGACTAACATGACTCACTGAGAAGGGACTCGAAGTTGGGACAAACATGACTCACTGAGAGGGGACTTGAAGTTGGGACAAACATGACTCACTGATAGGGGACTTGAAGTTGGGACAAACATGACTCACTGAGAGGGGACGAAGTTGGGACAAACATGACTCACTGAGAGGGGACTTGAAACTGGGACAAACATGACTCACTGAGGGGGGACTTGATGTTGGGACAAACATGACTCACTGAGAGGGGACTTGAAGTTGGGACAAACATGACTCACTGAGAGGGGACTTGAAGTTGGGACAAACATGACTCACTGAGAGGGGACAAACATGACTCACTGAGAGGGGACTTGAAGTTGGGACAAACATGACTCACTGAGAGGGGACAAACATGACTCACTGAGAGGGGACAAACATGACTCACTGAGGGGGGACAAACATGACTCACTGAGGGGGGACAAACATGACTCACTGAGAGGGGACTTGATGTTTCCACAAGAAAATTGTACTATTTTAAAACTTGTATTAAGGTGCAAAAATAACTTTGCAAAATTGTATAGATGGATAATTGATTACCATCAAAATTTTGTGATAATATTCTTTTACTCTTAACTATAATAATGGAGACTTCCCCAGCATAATTAAATATATTATATCAACATAGTATGTGCCATGTAAAGCCTATTTACTCTGATTTCAGCCTGCTTTTCTTTTTGGGTACTTCTATAACCTTTGTCCAATGGACAGAGTTGTTTAATGGTAGACCATATGACAGCTAACCAGAAAGTCTCGCATTCGAATCTTTCAAGTAAGTAGAACATCCTTGAGTCCCCCCCCCCCCCCCCCCCCCCAGTGCTGAAGGGTAACTGACTCGTGTTAGGGAAAGTAAAGGTGACTGAGTAAAGTGCTAACCAAACTATTCCTTCATATGAAAAAAATTAACAGAAACAGGTGAACTCTACTTCCCTTGCCCATTGACTGTCAGGTTCAAAATGGAGCGTCACTTCTACTAATTTAAAAAATCGACCTTGTTTCTCCACATATTGAAAGAAAGTGCAGCTAACCTTCTCACCAGGCTGTATAACAACATTGATGTTCTGGAGAGCAATCCCACAACCTTTTCTGTATTTTTCACAATAGTTATTAAATTCTATCATCCCACTGTGTGGCCATACATCCACAAAAGTTGAATCGTCCTTTACAGTCCAGGGACCCTACAGAATGTTTTAGGATTGGTTCATAATATTTTCAATAAAATACATCTATGTTAAGAATGTTCATAAAACTTACAAAACACATGGATGTTAAGACTGATAAAGAAAATGTCACCTACAAACTGCAAGTTTGTTAAGATGGGTAAGAAAAATGAAACCTGGCATTAAATTAATGTTAACTTTCATGTTCCAAGCTAAATGGGAAAATATGTTTAACACTAATGTTCAGTCTCTTGAATATATAAAGTGAGAAGATCTAAAACAGTGAAGAAATGTGCATCATTGCTCAGTGGAAGTTTGAGAATCAGAGTGAGGCTGGCAGTCTATTGAAGAAATGTGTATCATTTGGTTAGTATGAGAATCAAAGTGATGTGAGAAATGTAGTAATTAGCCCACCCAGCAAGCAAAAATTATTTGATACATCATTTATTTTTGTTACTGTAATACTTTCCTTTTAGGTCTTACATGTATGTAGTGCTAGGCATCCACATTGTAAGCCAGAAACTGTGAAGTGAAGTTTAGTAGCAAGCGTTTGCCAGTTCCAACAAGACTTACATACCTCTTGAACTATCTTAGAATATTCTTGAATTCTCTCAGCTGACACAATATTTGTCTCAAGTTCACATAGCATTCTTGCCATCAATGTCAGTTCATTTGAAATCTGGTTGGGAAACCAATGTAACAGTTCATTGCATTAGGCAGCACTAAATAAGAAACTAAAGAAGAAACTAGGTTTTTTTTCCACTAATTAGTTTTTTAAGTAATTTACATAATCTCATATTCTTTGGTTATGTAATTTGACTCTATGTGATAATCTGTCATTGAGCAGCTTTTACTTATAGATATGATAATGTTTTGTCAATTCTGAATTACTGATACAGCAGGCTATAGTATCACACATTACATAACATTCAAATATAAACAGTAACCAAATTTAGTTTAACGAGCAGGCTTAAGCTCCTTGAATTTAGGAATAATTTATGGCAAGTTAAACACTTTATTGTCATACCATTATGATAAATGTAATGGCTAAGCTGATGAGATTAGGGCTGGCTACATCCCTGTCTAAGATAGCCATCACAGCCACAGAAATGATCAATAAATATGATATTAATTCCATCCTTGCTTGCAGCCACCTTGGCAAAAATAGTTGAACTTAGTGAAAAAATGTATGAGTATGGTACATTATAACGAAATAATACATAGTGAAAAAACGTACAGCAGTGTTCATGAAATAATACATATTTTGAACATTAAACAATGCACCAGCACCATAGTGTGTGTATATATATAATATATATATAGGCCTATATATATATATATATATATATATATATATATATATATATATATATATATATATATATATATATATATATATATATAGGCCTATATATATAAACTACGCATGCTGCCCAGCTTCGCTTGGGCTTTCAAAAACATTGAGAATTTGAATGTTTAATTAATTCGCCCGAGGGTCGGTCTACGACCTCAGGAGTTATGAAGAGGTTCCTACGTGGACAATTTTTTTTTCGATTTATAGCTCATATAAGGCGCTGGTCAGTCGAGGTCAGTTTTGACCCCCTCATCGTGGACCCTTAGGCCAACCGGCACCGGCCCCCGTGTTCTGTCGCCCCAAGGCAAGATCCTGTCAAATTTGAAGCGCCTGTGGCGCCGGGAAGTGCCTGATGTCGGGCACCCGACAACTTTGCTTCATATATTATAGAGATTAGCAAATTGCATAGATAAACAAAGATTTCCAAAGTAGTTCCTTTCTTTATAGTCTAAAATAGGAAGATTCACATATAAAAAAAAAATTAGGGTTGACTTGGTGTGTCTCGATCCGGCACCACCTGTGTGGTATCAAGTACACTATCATCTCAGCTAATTAGGTACCTTTAAAATATGGAGAATAAAAGAAGTGTTTTAAAAAAATAACTTACGCGAATATGCCTATTTTTGCAAATTATTTTTTTTTACCCAAAATTAGCCAGTTTCATTGCTAAACAAACAAAGATTTCTATAAAATATTTAAGTCCTGAAAAAGTTTATTATAGAAATTTATTTTTGGAATAGATTCTACAGCAGATAGAGTCTAAATCTGAATCTAGAATCCAAATAGATAAAATAATTTTTTTAAGTTTGGGCCGAGAAAATCGTATTGTATACATTTTATAGCGTACATAGCTCTAAATCATATTTGAATGAAATAGTTCATTTATTTTTATTCTAAACTCGGAAGATGACGTCATCAGTTTCGTGCTCTTTTTTTAGTGTAAACAATAAGCGACGTCATTGTTAAATGCGTTCTTGTCCCAAGTTTAAACACTTTTCCGGTTGCATAAATAAAATTGTTTTTCTACATTCGAATACGCCATTATTTTTTATTTTTCTTCTTTAAATAAAATTGTGGTTATACATTTAAAACATCTAACATATTATTTTCAACAAAAGTCCATATAAAGTTCTCCATATATCGCTGCAGTTTCTGATGTGATGTCCGGCGAAAATATTTTGCGGACAGACAGACAGAGAGAGAGAGAGGTGCGCACGGGGTCTTTTATATATTAGGATATATATATATATATATATATATAGAGGTGCGCACGGGGTCTTTTATATATTAGGATATATATATATATATATATATATATATATATATATATATATATATATATATATATATATATATATATATATATATATATATATATAGGCCTATATATATATATATATATATATATATATATATATATATATATATATATACAGATATATACAGATATATATATATAGATACAAATATAAATATCTAAGTATTCTATTTTTAAATCATTTAATTTTGAAATATAGTATGTGATAAAGATAAGATCAATTCATTTAGAAGTTAGAACTAACTTGCTGCATGCAAACATGGTCATCATGGGCTTCTGAAAGACGTCAACCTTCTTGTTGAAGTCCTGAATAAACCTGACCTGCTGCTTGCTGGCCCTGATGACAGTCAGGCCAGACAGTGTCTCACTTATGTGGGCGCAGATCTGAGAAAAGTTTCTTGATGCCAGACTTCGCAACTGACAAATGGTCTCAACATACAGATGCTGGTCGTTTGGAAAAGTTACACAATGAGAAGGCTCTCAGAAAGTTCAAATGTTTAAGTATTTACAGATAATTTTTTTTAAATGGTATTTATACTGTATATATAGTAAATTACACATATAAAAAACTCTATCAAGACATTGGGAGCAGGACATTAACACTCCCCCCCCCCCACTTCATTACCCCAGATCAATTACTACATGTTATAGATAAAGGTTAAGGATAAGTTATGGTTAGGGATAAGAATAGAGATGTTGATAGGGTTGGAGATAGGGTACAGTATAGAGATAATGATAGGGAGCTGGATACCTACATGAATAATATGTATTTTAAAGGGAGTAATTACCCCAGGGGAGTAACAGGGGAGTAATTAATCTGAGTGGTAATGACAAGTGAAAAATTGATTTAGGGGTAATTGTTTTAGGGGGAGGGGAGGAAATTTCCTAGACTTCAATACCTTAGTCAAAGACAAGCTGTATTTATAACACTATTTTTTTATTTTTCCGTTTAAAAAAATAGTCATGAAATTAAAAAAATGATTTACCTGAATACATAAAAAAAGGAATATGGAGGTAATTAAAGCAGTGAGAAAGACTGGTGATGTGTAGCTGGTGACTACCAAAATCCCAAGGGTAAACATGGTATGTTCGATGAAAACCTCCAGGTTTAAAAACAGTTCACAGTCTACAATGTTTAAATCCTGACCAAAAAGGTTCAACAGCTGTTCCACAGGGTTTTCCGAAAATGTGCTCATTGGTGCTTTTAAAACTGCATCTAAGAGCTTGGTGTGGATCTTACGGGATGCAGTCACATGAGCATACTGCAAGAGCCCAGAGTAGATCACACAGAATATTGCTGCCAATAATAAAGTAAATGTTAAAATATTCATGAGTGAATACTTGTGACTAAGTCAAAATTAAACATATTACAACTAGTGAATGTTTGTTAAATGTAAGAATTAAAATGTGAACTATTAAATGTGTGGGGTCAAATGGTAGAGCTTATTACTGCGACCTTGATTGTTTCAAGTTTGAGGCTGTAAGATTAACTCTACTTCATCTGCCCCATGTGTCTTGGGCACAATTGGGAAAAGATGTTGAGATGATGATTTGTTACAAAGTAAAAACTAAAATATTATTCACCGAATGAGTGTTATCTTAATTCAAAATCATGCAATAATCTAAAGGAGGTGTTAATTTAAAGAGGCAAAAATATTCTAAGAAAATGTATCTATTTTTTTACTAATACTTAATTTATGTTAATTGAAAAAAAATTTCTCACATTGCATAAAGCCCCATATGACATAAGATTGCACATATAGCTGGTTTAAATTAGTTCTTCCTTCACTCCCAACTGGCAACTCTGATAAGTTGGCCAGTTGATGGTCACCTGACCACATTGCCAGCTGCAGGTAGGCCAAGTTGTAAGTTATGTGGAAGCCCAAGACAAAAAATGCAGCCATTGACACACTAGGTGCACCAGCTGCCTTAGCCAATTCCAAATAAACTTCCCACCTCTTCTTCTAAATGGATGATAGAAAAATAATTGTTTTTTAAAATCGCTTTTATCTATTACTATAGTCTAATATATGCCAAAGAAAATCAAATGGAATTAAAAAAACTACTTAATCGACATTAATAAATGTAAATTATATTATTTAATAACCACCTGAAATGTTATGACTACTACCCATCCATAAATTTTATCATTTTAAAAAACAACCGTGTCTGACAGAGTGGCCTCCCTCTAGATCTATGAATCTATTTTTAGCCCACATCAAACTAACCTCGGTAATAACACCAGTAATTGATCTATATAATATATATCTATTTGTACAACGTTAAGCTAACCTCTGGCTTGTATGTTTTTTGTTTGGTCGATTTTGCTGGCCAATTCTCTCTCATTCTTTTTAAAGCATCAAAAGTAAGTTCAAACACACTGTAACTCATTCTAGTTGGAGATCATCAAAAAATATTTTAGATAAAAGATATATAAAAATGTGATTGGTTCTGAAACCAAATGTTAACTCTTTAAATCTTGCCTTACCAGCTCTGCCATGTAATTCAAGGTAACAGTTTTTTTAATTAACTGTAGCTTACTTGAATCTTAACTTCATGTATACAGTGTGGAATAATTTCATCAGTACTTATATAAAATTCTGATGAATATCTAAGCTGTTTCCTAACAGATAGCATTTTTAAAATGAAAAATGGAAACTTTACATGTTTCATTAAAACAAGGAAAATCAAATTCAAAATTGGGTCATTTTGATTCAAACTTATTGTTATAAGTTAACACATTGAGAAAGTCTCCTTTTGTTCAAGTGATTGACTAGTTATAATGTTATAGTTTTAGGGCCTATGGTTTTAATTTTTCCTTTTTTCAATTGTAACATTTAAAATTCTCTTATTATCATTTACAAGGTTGTGTTGCACTTTATTTAAAACCCAAATATTGCTTGGTATTTGGAATTATTTAGAGCTCTTTTAACATGAACCGGATAATGCTTACATTTAACAAACTTTTACCCAGTGAGCACATTAAGAATGAGAGTGAATACATATGTCAGTCACAAATACACTAAGCACTTTTTTAAATACCTGCATACTAAAAGAATGTTTGATAAAAGCTATATAATGAAAGTATTAATAGTAAATCCCGCATACAAACTCACCTATCTGTGGAAATAGAATCTCTTTGTTTTTGAACCAATGTGCTGCCTTTTTTAAGTGGGATAACTGAATGTTAAAAAAAAAAGTATGTATATGTGAATAAATCAGGGACTTAAGTAATTTTGCCACTGTTTAGCATCTACCTTTACATTATTACAAAACTTAAATAAGAATAATGGCTATAAAACTTGTGAATATTATCCATACAACAAAAAGCTAATTTTTCTGATACTACATTGGAAAAATACTAAATTGTTACAATATGTCTATCTTTATTATATTAATTAAATATTTTTCAAGAATTACACTATTATGGCTACATTTACTTCTATGACTTGGAGTCAAAGTTTTAACTATGCACTGAACAGATTTTGAAGCTACTAAATATAAAAAAAGCAGTAAGACTTACTGTTGAATACAGCCAAACAAACACAGCCAAAAACAGCAGTACAATGTCAAATACGATAAAAAACAGAGGACTTAATATCAAACACAGCCAAAAACAGCAGTACAATGTCGATTACGATAAAAAACAGAGGAATTAATATCAAACACAGCCAAAAATAGTATGACTTACTGTCAACGGTAGAACTAAATGAAAACTGTTTAGCAGCTCTTATAAACTCAGCATTTTGTGATTTAAGTTCCTCAAAGCTGCCAGTAAATTGAATTTGCCCATCAGTCATTAAAACTACTGTGTCAACTTTAGTCAGCCAATGAATTTGATTGGTCACTAATATTCGGGTCTGGTGGGTGGAAGTGTAATGCAGTTACTGATAAATTTTAAAAGACTTTTTTTAATCTAGATACAGTAGGAACATTTTAAATAGGTCTGAAGGCAAATATATTTTGAACTTTAAAAAATCTTATTTTTATATAGTGCAAATTTGCTGATGACATGTTGGAGAATAAGTTGCCATAGTTGTTTTATTTATGATATTATACTTCATCCCTAAAAAGTTATAAAATTAACAGTATTAGATAGATACATTTTTAACATTTCATTACAGAAAAAATAAACCACTGATCAACCTTCCTGTTTAAAAGTCCAGTGTTGCTGATAACATTTTGGAAGATGTGTTGTCCCACAAGGCTGTCCACTGCACCCAATGGATCATCAAACAGGTAGATGTCAGCCTGGCTATAGACAGCTCTTGCTAGAGAAATTCTCTGCTTCTGTCCACCTGACAAGTTCACTCCCTTGAAAGAAATTGATGGCTAAACATTTTTAAATACAAAAGTATTTAATAACCAAAGTTTATTTAAAACTGCATTAACTGGAGTTTTTTAAATGTAATGTCTATCACCCCCCACCCCCCCAGACAAAATTGAAAAACATATAAATGTTTATAAATAATATACTTTACTATTGTCTGCTCCCTTAAGCCAGTAATGTAAATGCCCCCCCCCCCCCCAGAAAAAAACAGAAAAAAGTGTATCAGAGCTATGTTAGTTTTAATGTACTTAATTACTTTAGAATTTTAGTTCGGTATCGACTACCAAGCTGGAAGTGTAAGGAATAGTTAATTAGTCGAATAGCAATAGTGAAAGAGCTTCTGCCAACCTTCTCTCTGATATCAGTCATATCTCTAGACTTGAGTGCATCTATTTCATCCATCAATGCACATGCTTTTAATATATTGTTGTAACTCTTTGATTCAAAAACACGACCAAATGTGATGTTCTCCCTGATTGTGGTGTTTTGGATCCAGGCTTGCTGTGGGGCGTATGCCATATTTGACTGAAAATATAAGCTGAAGATGACTGAAATTATTTTTTGACAACCATAAAATATAAAAATAAAAAAATGACTTTAATATAAAAGCATCACACAATAATTTTTGCTGAAAGAAAAAATTGTCCATAAATATTTGGAAACTTGGTATTACGTCAAAAAAGATCATTTGTGACGGAAGAAATAAATGTCTTACATTAACATTTACAGTACCAGCAAGAGTGTTCATCTCCCCCATGATTGCAGATAACAGTGAAGACTTTCCGCAACCCACCTCACCTATAACTGCAACAAGCGTGCCTGGTTGAATTTTTAAGGTAATGCTGAAAAGAAAATTGGCAAAAATGATCATAAAATACTGACAAAAATTGAATTCATCTGCATGTAATAACAGTAAACATAGACCAATGCAGCAAAAAAAAAAAAAAAAAAAACCAGTGTTATTGTTACTTTTTTAGAAGAGCTTCTCCAGAAGCAGACCAGGAAAAGCTTGCATCTTCTATTTTTACGTCTAATTCTGAGGACAATTATTGGAGTCTTGAGTTAAATCAAGAAGAATAATAGCTAAAAAGTGCAATTACTAAATGATTCACTACAATAAACCCATGATCACTACCACAGTAATAATACATGTACACAGGAACAATATAACATTATACTGTCGGTCAATGCTACATAACAAATCCTTGCACAAATTTTAAACTGATAAAACTACAATAGTAATAACTCTTTCATCCATTATTTGGAAAAAACGTCTGTAGTTTACCTCCATCCACAATTTTATTTAAGTTGTTAATTTCTATGTTATCAGATTGTAAAAATGTGTTGATGCGATGGACTGATGACCACATCTAGAATAGAAAAAATTTGTAATTTTTATTGTGAATGATAGGAATGTAAATATTTTAGGCTGCAATCTAAAAACATCTAAATCTATTAAATTAATAAATAATAATTTTTAAAAATCATTTGTTTTTCATTTTTAGTTCATTATTTGAGCCTTTTTGTTATGATATAGATCTAGTGACACTTCTAAACATGCATCACATGCACTAATTCATGTAATTATAACCTCTTGTGTGTTGTAATCATTATGTAGACAGTAGGCACAAATGCTATTACATTTTTCCAATCTAATTCCCACTAGATCTTCAGAACTGGTTTTTATATTGTCATTACCACCTACCAATTATGTTAAATACCAGGTTTTGGTTTTCTTAACTGCTAATTATTAAACTCAAAGCACCAGATATAAAACTTACCTTAATAAAATATTTGATGTTGAGGGGAATGCTTGTCATGGCTATCCTGATTAAGTTGATGTAATTGACTGTAACAAAAGCTGTCTTGGTGCTGATGTAATGACTATCCTCTATCACCAGAAATGTTACTAATGTAAGAAACGTTATCTGTGAAAATAAATTCTGCCTTAACTTTTATGTGGTTATATAAGCTTTCTATATTGATTAATGTATCATAGTTTTTTGAGGATTTTTGTCCCCCACAAAAAACACCACCATCCTAATCATCACTAAAGCAAAAAAAAAAAAAACCTCATGCCTTCGTAATATCTTTCAAGGATGTGGACCAAAATTAAAAGAATGTTTGTTTACTGTATGAATGTGTAGATTATAAATTAAAAGAATGTTTGTTTACTGTATGAATGTGTAGATTATAAATTAAAAGAATGTTTGTTTACTGTATGAATGTGTAGATTATAAATTAAAAGAATGTTTGTTAACTGCGTGGTGTGTGGACTATAAATTAAAAGAATGTTTCTTTACTGCGTGGTGTGTGGACTATAAATTAAAAGAATGTTTGTTTACTGCATGGTGTGTGGACTATAAATTAAAAGAATGTTTGTTTACTGCGTGGTGTGTGGACTATAAATTAAAAGAATGTTTGTTTACTGTATCAATGTGTGTACTATAAATTAAAAGAATGTTTCTTTACTGCATGGTGTGTGGACTATAAATTAAAAGAATGTTTCTTTCCTACCCAAAATGTGGCTGCTGTATAACAGAATGTGTCCAAGGAATCAAGCAGAGCGTGTTTTGTTAAAATCTTCACCTCCTTCTCCCTGATACTATTCACTCGAGAAAAAAACAAAGGCTCCAATGCTAACAGTTTTATTGTCTGAAAGTTGTTGCAAATTTAGATTTTAATTAACAATTAGTTATCCACTGCTAAATGGTTATGCTTTTTTATGCCAAACTGGCAAAACAGAATGGTGGCATAGAAATTCTAAGAAACTGGCAAGCTTATACATGTTATATCTGCTACATTCTTTTTATAGTTGTTATATTGGTCTTATCATTTGTCAAATTACTGTTTTATGTTATATGGTTATCAAATTAAAGTTTTGGTCGAATTGCCATCTGTTTGTTGGTTAAAGTCATATTTATATCTGTTTGGTGACTTTGTCCTAAAGTAAATACGATTCTGTACGAACAATTTTTATTTTACGTTAACACTATCAGGTAAAAAAAACTATTAATTACCCTAATTGTGTTTACTATCTCATTAATTAATTTGAGACGCTTATCTTTTGTCTTCATCATGCACTGTTGAAACTGAACCATTTTATGAGTAACCAATACGCTGATTGTTAGAATATTACTAATGACAGCCAGCCCTGAAAATTCCAAAGAGAATTGGCTGGAATATAATACATAAACAAAATTTGCAGGAAATAGATGCAGCACAGCTAGATTATTTAAAGCTTTAATGAGTTATCCATTTTAAATTTAATTTGAATATACATAAACAAATATTAATGAAATAGCATGATCATAAATTTGTTAAGTCATTAGCTTGAATGACTATTTTATAACTAAATCTTTGCATCAAACACAACACCAACAAACCTGCAAACATGGCAAATCCGATATAGTTGTACACCATCAAGATTCCACCCAGAAATAGTGCAGCACTCACCCAGAGCCAGTAGGCATTGTTGACAAACATCTCCAGGCGCGCTGTATCCCTGGACATCATGTCCACAATGTCTCCTAAGCTGAATTGTTTCATGGATTCCATTGAAAGCATCAAGCTCTGTTTTTAGAAATATTTATAGACTCTTTTTTTTTTAAAAACATTGTTGAATTTTTAAAATGTATTGTTTAAAAAAAAATGTATAGTGGTAAAATAAAATGTATAGTTTTGAAAAAAAATGTGTTGAGGAATAGTTTATTTATTTAATAAAATTGAATAGTTTTGAAAAATGTATAGCATTAGAAGCAAATCAAATATATATTATAGTCTTATTTATTTCAAAGATAATGAAGGTGTGCCCCAAAAACACATGACAAATATTGATTAGGTACTGTTTTGAAAACAACTTGGCCAATTTGTATCTTACTATTTTCTTTGGTTGTACCTCTCTTACAAAAACTGCTGCTCAATGTTTCTATTAAGCCAAATAGACCTAACTAGATGAAAATACAAGCATTTCTGGCACCCTTGTTGTTGTCAGATGCTAGGCCATTGTGTTTTCACCAGGCTTCTAATGCCTCTGCTTGTGTTTTTTGGAAGGGGAGCAGCCTATGGTCTAGAGGCTGGATACCAAACTTGTTAATTTCCAATAGGTTTACATGCAATTTAAAGCAAGACCATACTATGGTTCTAACTAAAGGCTTCACAAAAAGTCAACAAAAACTATTTGGTGGTTAATTGTTCTAAGTATTTCTTTAAAGTAAAAAAATGAAAACAAACTGTTAAGTTCATATTGTTGTAATAATCTTTATTTTAAAATAAAATACCTCTTGTGTTTTAAGTACCACCATTTACCCTACTGAAATATAGTGCACAAGCTTTATTTATTTTGGATGTTACACCTTTGTCACTAAAAAACACTGCTGCTGTTTCAAAACAGCTAAAATCTATTTAAGTTCAAAATTGATAATCCCAAACTGCAACAGCTGGAAGTACAATATGGACCCTGGACATTTTAAATAAAGTACATGTCCAACCAAAATAAAAATACTTTTAAAAAAATAAGAATTACCTTCTGGTAAATTGCGCCCATGGTGGCGCTGCGAACACGAATGGCCAATCGACTACTTAGGAACTGTGCCGATAGATTAAACACTGAGCCTAGCACTCTGACCACCATTAGCAAAATCAACAAAATAAAACCATGCCACTTGGGTTCCTTTAAATCTGTACAGAAGTCTATCAAACATCTGAAAATAGAATACTGTCAAAGTTCTGTTATTTTTTAATGGGAAAGTTAGCCTTACAAAAACCTATCAAACATCTGAAATTAGAATACTTTCAAATTTCTGTTATTTTTTAATGGGAAAGTTAGCCTTCCAAAAACCTATCAAACATCTGAAATTAGAATACTTTCAAAGTTCTGTTATTTTTTAATGGGAAAGTTAGCTGTACAGAAACCTATCAAACATCTGAAAAAAGAATACTGTCAAAGTTCGGTCATTTTTTTATAGGAAAGTTAGCTGTACAGAAACCTATCAAACACCTGAAATTGGGTGTTCATAGAGAGGGGTAATGGCTCTTCTATCACCCCACTACCTATGCAACTGGTTAGGCTTAGACAGGATATCCATTTTCTATTAGGCAGGGGATTAAGTTTAGATTAGGTCAGTTTGTGTGTTGGGCCTATGATTAAAGTGTAAAAAGTAAAATAATATGCACACACACACACACACACCCAAGAATAATCGGTGTCAACAGTTGCATAACAACAAACACCAGCATGCCAATGTTGCACAAGAGAAGATCCCACCAGAACGTCAGAAGAAGGGCACGGAAAAGACTCTTTGGTTTTGCGGGCTTGGTTTTATGTTCATTAGCCTCACATATTGAATCTACAGTCGCTCTTCGATCGTCACGTGAACTTTTGTCAAAAACCTCACGGAAATCCTTTTCTTCACTTGTTTTTCTTGGCCGAAGTTTCCTCAACAAAGCAGTTCCCAACATTTGTCTTAAAAAGTAAAAACAAAAAGTAGGCTTATTGATGGTATTTACACACAAAATACTAAATAAATAAAAAAATATAGATTTTTTATATTATAGGCCTATATATATATTTATATATATATATATATATATATATATATATATATATATATATATATATATATATATTATATATATACTTAAAATACAAGTCTATAAATTGTCAATTAATTAAGAATAATTATGAAAAAAATATACTTAATGAAGACAGTCAATTCATCCAGTTTTCAAAATGTAACAAGTTCACTAATGTTAGTAGCAATCAAACCAATTAAAAGTACAAATTCGTCAAATGTACTGTTTTTTTATCAACAATATATTTTTTAATATACTTAGGTTAGGCTATATTTGTACACCGACGAGAGTGATCTCCCTGCATTAAATACCACTTACGAGAGTAATCGTCCTTTGTGCATTAACACCTCTCTGTCACACATACATACACACACCGCCTTTCTTAAATATGAAATAAGGCCAGCAATTTTTTTTTCATCGCTTTATTTGAAATAAATAAATCACGTTATCAGTATTAAAAAAATACCTTTTCAGACCAGACGATCCATGTGACAGATTATAGCCTATATGCTATATGTTGTAGGCCTATATGACTATATGTCCTTCCGTTTTTTTGTTTTTTTCCCCCAACTCTAAGATGGTGGCTATTAATAGCATTTAGGCTTAGAAGCACTGCACGGATATGAGCTCGCGAACTGTATCTACCTCTCCATCACTCCTTACCAACTCAGCTGTAGATGGATGTTGTTATATAGGCCTAGACTTCTACAAACGCTAAGACGCTGTTTACCTGTCAAAATTTTTCAGCAAACGTCTCGTGGCCACGGGGATTGTGTCCTTACGGTGAAGCTCCTTCATGTCATTGTTGTCAATCACTTGGTATCTGCTCGCCCTTATAAAGCTGAGGTACCAACAACAGAACAAGTTAGCTTTGCTACAAGTTAGTTATACTACATTGTTGTCAATTACTTGGTATCTGCTAGCCCTTATAAAGCTGAGGTACCAACAACAGAACAAGTTAGCTTTGCTACAAGTTAGTTATACTACATTGTTGTCAATTACTTGGTATCTGCTAGCCCTTATAAAGCTGAGGTACCAACAACAGAACAAGTTAGCTTTGCTACAAGTTAGTTATACTACATTGTTGTCAATTACTTGGTATCTGCTAGCCCTTATAAAGCTGAGGTACCAACAACAGAACAAGTTAGCTTTGCTACAAGTTAGTTATACTACATTGTTGTCAATTACTTGGTATCTGCTAGCCCTTATAAAGCTGAGATACCAACAACAGAACAAGTTAGCTTTGCTACAAGTTAGTTATACTACATTGTTGTCAATTACTTGGTGTCTGCTAGCCTTTATAAAGCTGAGATACCAACAACAGAACAAGTTAGCTTTGCTACAAGTTAGTTATACTACATTGTTGTCAATTACTTGGTGTCTGCTAGCCCTTATAAAGCTGAGGTACCAACAACAGAACAAGTTAGCTTTGCTACAAGTTAGTTATACTACATTGTTGTCAATTACTTGGTGTCTGCTAGCCCTTATAAAGCTGAGATACCAACAACAGAACAAGTTAGTTACACTCCATTATTGTCAAACACTCGGTGTCTTCTCTTATTCACGTGGACATCAGAACTTACAAAGCTACACGAGACAACATAATTAGTTACCTAGTTAGATCTACATAAAATACAACTACTCATAAGACTTAACACAACAAGTTACCCTGCTACACAAAAACAAAACAGCCCACACCAAATATCTGACTAACGTGATACCGACAACATCATCACAAAGATTCAGTCAAATGTTAGCCACGATAACGACAACATCAGCACAAACACTCAGTCAAATGTTAGCCACGATACCGACAACAGCATCACAAAGACTCAGTCACGATACCAACAACAGCAGCACAAAGATTCAGTCAAATGTTAGCCACGATACCGACAACAGCATCACAAAGACTCAGTCAAATGTTAGCCACGATACCAACAACAGCATCACAAAGACTCAGTCAAATGTTAGCCACGATACCGACAACAGCATCACAAAGACTCAGTCAAATGTTAGCCACGATACCAACAACAGCATCACAAAGACTCAGTCAAATGTTAGCCACGATACCGACAACAGCATCACAAAGACTCAGTCAAATGTTAGCCACGATACCAACAACAGCATCACAAAGATTCAGTCAAATGTTAGCCACGATACCGACAACAGCATCACAAAGACTCAGTCAAATGTTAGCCACGATACCGACAACAGCATCACAAAGACTCAGTCAAATGTTAGCCACGATACCAACAACAGCATCACAAAGACTCAGTCACGATACCGACAACAGCATCACAAAGACTCAGTCAAATGTTAGCCACGATACCAACAACAGCATCACAAAGACTCAGTCAAATGTTAGCCACGATACCGACAACAGCATCACAAAGACTCAGTCAAATGTTAGCCACGATACCGACAACAGCAGCACAAAGACTCAGTCAAATGTTAGCCACGATACCGACAACAGCAGCACAAAGACTCAGTCAAATGTTAGCCACGATACCGACAACAGCATCACAAAGACTCAGTCACGATACCGACAACAGCATCACAAAGACTCAGTCAAATGTTAGCCACGATACCAACAACAGCATCACAAAGACTCAGTCAAATGTTAGCCACGATACCGACAACAGCATCACAAAGACTCAGTCAAATGTTAGCCACGATACCGACAACAGCATCACAAAGACTCAGTCAAATGTTAGCCACGATACCAACAACAGCATCACAAAGACTCAGTCAAATGTTAGCCACGATACCGACAACAGCATCACAAAGACTCAGTCAAATGTTAGCCACGATACCGACAACAGCAGCACAAAGACTCAGTCAAATGTTAGCCACGATACCAACAACAGCAGCACAAAGACTCAGTCAAATGTTAGCCACGATACCGACAACAGCATCACAAAGACTCAGTCAAATGTTAGCCACGATACCGACAACAAAGACTCACGGCTCTATCCAGTAAAATGTCAGCCACGATACAGCCGCCGCTGTCTGCTCGGGATTCTGTAGCTACAGGTAAAAGGATGACAAGTTTAAGTTCAGGGTACACACAATATGACAAGATCAAGTTACCCACAACATGACTAGTTCAAGTTACCCACAATATGACAAGTTCAAGCTACCCACTATACAACAAGTTCAAGTTACCCACAATGTGACAAGTTAAAGTTCGCAACCTCTACATTCTACTTCAATATGTCGCACTCTATTTTAGGAAAACCATACTCTTTGGTTATCTAAAAAAAATTGACTTTCATTCCATAACTGAAACAGGTTAACTCTGCTTCATTTGCCTCATGGGCCTTAAGTCAATGGTCAAATGATTAGAGCTTGTTTCCGGATATTCAATTCAAAATGACAATGTAGGCCTACTAGCGCTAGTGGTTAAATATGAAATGACTGCGTTTGCGCGTGAGTACATGTGTAAGTGTGTATGAAACAGCATGAGAGATAGAGATGAACAGCCAAAAATGTTGGGGCTATTAGAACTTGGTATGAAAATATTCATTGACTTTGAGAATTTACTATCAAATGTTCATTGACTTTGATAATGTACTGTAAGTACTGTAAATTGTTCCTTGAGTTGGAGAATGTACTGTAAAATGTTCATTGGCTTTGAGAATGTACTGTAAAATGGTCATGTTTACATACCCGATATCTCCCATCTAGCGGGTCTGAGAAGCAGTAGAGCAAAAATAAGGAAAATTTGGCTGATAGGCGAAAGGACATCAAGGCAATTTTGGAGAACTTGTAGTCCAACTCCTGTGGATTCAAAGAGAACGTTTACACCTTGCATCTGATCAACGGACGGATGTTGCTCTTTAGTTTTGCTCTAGCAAGACCCACCGGCACGTGAATCAAACAATCAGTAGACTTTGAATCTAAAAGGTTAGGGTTAGGTTTGCATTTTATAAAGTAATGCTAGAATCTGAATTTTAGTCGCTATTTTGCGTTTTAAAAAGATTTTTTTTTTTGTAAATTGTTAAAAACATCGATGCCTCAATGGTGATGAAGCACAGTAATCAATTTAAAAGAAAGCGATATTTTAAAAATCATGAAAGACCACTAACACGCTTCATGCATCACACATTAAATACTCGAACCCAGAGGCGTTGCGACCCTTCCCGGCGCCCGGGGACAAACTTTCGATTTGCACCCCCCTCAAACTTTCGATTTGCACCCCCCGTCAACCTTTCGATTTATTTTTCCAACCCATTTTGGCGCCCCCTAAGGTCGGCGCCCGGGGACATGTGCCCCCTCCCCTCGCTACGCCTCTGCTCGAACCACTGCGTGTCGTATTTGGTAACTTCTGTTGGCAACAAATAGAAAGAACTGACTTACCCCCTTCATGATGGTTTGGTACAACTTGATGGTCAAACAAAGACTGGACAAAAGCCAGAAGGAAAACATCGGCATGGACCTGACAACGCCGCGTGTTCGCTCACGAGTGACTATAGAGAGGATGATCCCCTGAAATACAGGACCAGATGTGTAGTAAACATGCTCACAAATACTCAATATAAATACACACTCGTGTAAACACACGCATAACTCAAGCACAACTAACACATACAGGCAAAGTGAAAACGTGGTCAAGTGGTAGTGCGTGAGACGAATGTTATTCAGAAATTCTCGAGTTCAAATCCCAGCTCATATGGGTACTTGACTCAACGTTACGGAACGTCAAGGCGGCTGGACATAGTGCTGAACACACTATTCCTTCGTTTGTCGAGGACAATTAGGTTCGTAAAGGGACAAAACCGAGTACATACTTCTGAAAGCGGTAATGATTTATGTACCTTTAAGACCACTATTTCGAGCGAAAAACTTGCAAAAATAATTTTTAAATAACATTGTATTTCTTCGCACCCCACTCACTGTAGTTTTGACGAGATGTTTCAACTTGCAAAATTTATTTTATTTATTTATTTTTGCGTTCACAAAGCACGAACAATTTTTCCGGTCTAAAATTTGTGATGATACTAATACTAACATTTTTATAGCTAGTAATTTTAAAAATAAATAAGCGAGCGGTAAAATAAGCGAGCAACTTGAAAAGTAAAAAAAAAAGTTTAAAAGTTTACCAGGATGGTGAGACGCATCACCTGCACCAAGACAGTTTCGTTCGTGAGGCCGGTGTGCATTCGCGAGGTCAGACTGATCATGTCCACGATCCCCAGAATAAAGATGCACAGCTGTGGAGAAACCGCAAGTCAGAGAAGACTGGCGCTTGTGTCAGAGATTATTCCGTGATTTATGGAGAAACTAGACATTGGCTAGGTAGTGTATGGAGAAACTGGACATTGGCTAGGTAGTGTGTGGAGAAACTAGACATTGGCTAGGTAGTGTGTGGAGAAACTGGACATTGGCTAGGTAGTGTCTGGAGAAACTAGACATTGGCTAGGTAGTGTGTGGAAAAACTAGACATTGGCTAGGTAGTGTGTGGAGAAACTAGACATTGGCTAGGTAGTGTGTGGAGAAACTAGACATTGGCTAGGTAGTGTGCGGAGAAACTGGACATTGGCTAGGTAGTGTGCGGAGAAACTGGACATTGGCTAGGTAGTGTGTGGAGAAACTGGACATTGGCTAGGTAGTGTCTGGAGAAACTGGACATTGGCAATGTAGTGTTTGGAGAAACTGGACATTGGCTAGGTAGTGTGTGGAGAAACTGGACATTGGCTAGGTAGTGTCTGGAGAAACTGGACATTGGCTAGGTAGTGTGTGGAGAAACTGGACATTGGCTAGGTAGTGTGTGGAGAAACTGGACATTGGCTAGGTAGTGTGTGGAGAAACTGGACATTGGCTAGGTAGTGTGTGGAGAAACTGGACATTGGCTAGGTAGTGTCTGGAGAAACTGGACATTGGCTAGGTAGTGTGTGGAGAAACTAGACATTGGCTAGGTAGTGTGTGGAGAAACTGGACATTGGCTAGGTAGTGTCTGGAGAAACTGGACATTGGCTAGGTAGTGTGTGGAGAAACTAGACATTGGCTAGGTAGTGTGTGGAGAAACTGGACATTGGCTAGGTAGTGTCTGGAGAAACTGGACATTGGCTAGGTAGTGTGTGGAGAAACTAGACATTGGCTAGGTAGTGTGTGGAGAAACTGGACATTGGCTAGGTAGTGTGTGGAGAAACTGGACATTGGCTAGGTAGTGTGCGGAGAAACTGGACATTGGCTAGGTAGTGTGTGGAGAAACTAGACATTGGCTAGGTAGTGTGTGGAGAAACTGGACATTGGCTAGGTAGTGTGCGGAGAAACTGGACATTGGCTAGGTAGTGTGTGGAGAAACTAGACATTGGCTAGGTAGTGTGTGGAGAAACTGGACATTGGCTAGGTAGTGTGTGGAGAAACTGGACATTTGCTAGGTAGTGTGTGGAGAAATTCCGGGGCAGTTCCAAACACTGGTTAAATATATTTTTTCTATATAAATTATGTATTTATTTTTATTTCATCCGGGGCGGTGGATGTACTTCGGTGGAGGGGGGGGGGGGAACAGTGCCACCCCAAGAGATGCCAGAAACTCTGTGCGAAATAAAGCCAACCTAGATAATTCGTTTTTACTTTCTCGTATACGAAGTATAAAGAAAGTATTGTAATCGTGCAAAAAAAAAGCGAGATTTTTGCAAATCTCGACGTTTTACACCTCCCTGAATCGGATAAAGATATATTTTGCAATCTTGTCCGTATGTCTGTGTGTGTATGTGTGTGTATGTGTGTCTGTAAACACGATGAGTACCGTTACAACTAGGTTAATGAAATTTCATGTATAAGTATTATATCAACTTCGTAGTTCTGTATCAACTTTTCAGCCATTTCCGGTAACCGGAAATGGAATTTATTCTACTTTCAATTTTTGTGTACTGTTTCAGATAGATTAATGAAATTTCATATGTAAGTAAAAGATCTAATTCTCTGCCTTCTGTCAAATTTTGAGTTATTTCCGTTGATCGGAAATAGTAATTAAAGCTATTTCCGATTTATCAAAAAATGCATGTGATTTTATAAAGTACTAATAATATTCCGCACTATTATACACATATTGTTTGGCCTTTACTTGGTCCGCAATTCTTTTTTCTACGAGATTCTATTCTATTTTTAAAAGTTTAAGTAATTAAAATGGATTAAAAATCATGCCTATATATCCCGAGTTGCCATCCCCCGTAGTGTTATATAAGAATATTCGAGAAAGTTAGGGGAAAGTTAGTATGGAAAACATGCCTTAAATAATAAGTTATTTTTTTTAATGAATATTGTAACAACATGTATTCTTTGTTGTTGTGGGTTTCATACAGGAACACGAGCAACAGTGGCAACTTGAAATGACAACTTTATTTACACTATGTACAGATAAATCCGTGGTACATCCATATTTGAAGATCAACTGATATAGGTACAAATAATAATCACGACTCCAAGTCATGGAGACATCTTACATTCACTGCCCTCGTTCCAGTCCCCAGGTTCAAGTTCTAGCACACAACCCCCGTTCACCTTTTTGCTCTCACTTTTATTCACCACTTTCTCTCCCCTTACGTACATGAGCGATCTCACCCAAAAGCATGAAACAACACATGACGATCGCTCAGACAGTCCTTCCGCTAGCCAGGTACTCTTCATTCATGCAAAACACAATATAATAAGGATACATAATTATACAGTCTGTGACAAATATCATGATGTCTGGTTTATAATTGTACACAGAAAAACACAGATGATTTGCAATTTAAACATTAGATTCAACTAATGACTTACAAATTTACACACACAGGACTCACAAGTTTACACAGTTAAGACATAGCAGACCTACAACTTTACACAGTCGGGACCTACAAGTAACTTTAAGCACATAGGTACAACCATCTTACACACAAATAACTTACAATCGTAGGCAAAAATGACTTAGTGCAATTTTACACACGACAGAATTTTTACACATAAAGATACAACTATGTACTTAAAATTTTACACACAAACATACAACTTTGTAATTACCTTTTTACACATAAAGATACAACTTTGTATTTACCTTTTTGCACATAATGATACAACTATGTACTCACAATTTTGCACATAAAAAAATTATGTACTTACAAGTTTACACATAAACATAGGGGTCATCCATAAATGACGTCACACTCGTAGGGGGGAGGGGGGGTCCGTTATTTTGTGACGATGTGTGATGAGGGGGAGGGGGGGGGGGGGGGGGGTCAGATGTTGCGACGTCACATTTTTGCATTATAAAAAAGCAATGTTAGAAAACGAATTTTAGACGTTATTTCGCGTTTTAGATAACTGTTTTAATAAATTGTAATAGTTTAGACAAGATTTTGGAAAAATATCGATGTTTTTAAAAAATTCAACTGCAATTTTGAGGGGGGTTGTAGGTTGAGGTGTGACGTCATTTTAGGGGGGGGGGGGTCTGGTTTTTTGTGACGACGTGTGACGGAGGGGAGGGGGGGAGGTAAAAATCGTCAAAAAAAGCGTGACGTCATTTATGGATGACCCCATACAACTATGTACCAATCACTCACAATTTTACACATAAACATACAACTATGTACCAATCACCTACAATTTTAGACAGAAAGATACAGCTAATCGGATGTTTCCGGAGCGGTGACGCCAGCAGGTGATACAGGTAAAATGGCACCATGACGAGGAAAAAGAAGATGGGGACGATCTCCAGCAAGGTGTTGTGGAAACATGACGTCAGCTCAGGCCAAGAGTTGTCTGTCCAGGTTAAGGACGTATTCTACATGGTTAAAGTTAGGTTGGGTGTTAGCAGGGGCGTAGCGAGGGGGGGGGGTGGGGGTGCGGATCGCACCGGGTGACACCATTTAGGGGGGTGACACCAAGGCAAAAAATAGCAAAATATATAGAGAAAAACTTGAGGGGGGGGGTGCAAATCGAAATTTTGAGGGGGGGGGGTGCAAATCGAAAGTTTGAAGGGGGGGGTGCAAATCGAAAATGTGAAAGTTTGTCCCCGGGAAGGGTCGCTACGCCTCTGGGGGGGGGGGGTGACACCATTTAGTGCCGCACCGGGTGACACCCGACCTCGCTACGCCACTGGGTGTTAAAATGATGTTAGAAGGGTTAAGGGATCGTATATAAGCAATGCAGCACAATAGTTTAGTTTGGGCCCACTCATATTCATGTTATACAATATTTTCATAAAGCATCAAACTAATAGTGGCGTTAAACACAAGTATTCAAGCTTTAAATACTACTTTATGCCTCTATATAGACATAATTAAGTACCCCACATAATCATAACAAACACCAATTATGTAGCCTATATTATGGTGCACCGTAAAACGGTTTCAAGTTTGACATGCAAAGCACCAACTAAAGAAGAGGCATTAAGTGTCAACCTTAAATGACGTCACACTCGTGGGGAAAAAAAAAGGGGGGGGGAATCGGAGACTCTGTAAGTGTAACGACACAAGTAATGTAAGAAATAAAAACTGATTTCAGCCTTATTTCGAGTTTTTAAGAGGTTTTCTTTTTTATTTAATTAACATTGACAGAAAACAGAAAAGTTTTCGAAAGAAAGCGATTTGTTACGATACTAGAATTAAGAAGGGGGGGGGGGGGAGGTTGTAGGGTGAGGTGTGACATCTTTAGAGATGAAGTCGGCTTTTTTTAAGGTTGACGTCATTTATGTGGCTCCTCCTGGCAAATTTAGCAAACGTAAACTGAACTCACCCACACAAGTTCTCCCTTGCAGAACACGGACATGGTTCACTTTGACTAACGCCTAGATAATGAATTTCTCGGGTTAAATCTTTCTTCAATACTAAAAGGCACACCTTTTATTACACATAATACAAGTGTAGTTGAAGGTCCCCACAATTCAGAAATGCCATTATTTTTTTTACAGCTGCTTTACAATTGTGTTTTACATACTGGACATCAATGATTAAATCTCTAACTTATCTCTAAGTCATTATAATCTCGATTTAGAACCTAGGTCTAGATCTAGGAAGATTTTTTAAAAATTATTTGCATTAGCATAGTATAGATCTAGTATAGTATAGCTTTTTAGTTAGGGTAATCTATCGTTTTGGGTACGTAAAATCGCCCGCGGCTATTAATGTACGAAAACGTTACCTCATTGTCAATGCTGTAAAAAGAAGTATATTGTGATATGTTTGTGTCAAATATTATAGATAAATGGATAATAAACCTAAATCAATGGCTAAATATATCAATATAGGCCAGAAATTAACTTTAAACAGCAGTGTCTGCAAGCAAGATTTGCTATATAAACAGCAGCCATTTGTAAAATAGAGTGACTTCCGCCTGAATCTTGCGCTTTAAGTCTATAAAAATAAAACTTTTACAAGATGGCTGCTATAGTAAATGAGCATGGTTGCATCTGTTGGAAACATCGCTAGTCTTCATTTATTACTGAAAAGTTTTAATTCAATTGTTTAAAAACAGGTACATAAATGAAACAAGGAAACATTTTTGTATTTTTAAAACATAAATCCTCCTCAAAATGTGAAATAATTATTAAAATGTAAGGAGTCACCTGTTTTTCACATTACTAGTTGCGGGCGATTTTACGTACCCAAAACGATAGATTACCCTTTTTAGCTCACTAGATCTAGAATCTACGTAAATATTATTTTTATCAACGATAATGTGACTCCCAGTGGTGGAAAAACGAACCAATTAAGAAAAAAATTATTGACGCTAATTTAAACTAGATCTAGTAATTTTGTACCGTATTTAAAAAGTACGCTTATGTTATTTGATTTAAGCTTAACTTACTAACTTAAGATTGTTTAGGGTATTTAAAACTACTGAAAATAAAACTTATTGAATCTTTTGTGTTGGCATATTCATTTCCGGTTTAAAAAATTAGATCTAGGGCCTATTTGTAGCCTGATTTTGCAAGGTGTGCAAAAGGCAGTGCGCATTTTTATCGCTATGTTTGGCAGCCCAATGCGCCCACGCGTATAGCCCCTTAGTCCACCACCAGTGTATGGGGTCATCCACAATTAACGATTTTTACCTCCCACCCCCCCCCCCCCCCGTCACAAAAACCCAGACTACACCCCCCCTAAAATGACGTCACACCTCAGACTACAACCCCCCCCCCCCCTCAAAATTGCAGTAGAATTTTTTTAACATCGATATTTATAGCAGGTGATGAAGACATGACAGCACCATGGCCAGTAAATTGCCCATTTGAGATGGTTTCAAAGAGGTTAAAAATATAATAGGTAAAGCTTGACCTAATTCTTTGACTTGAGGCCGCTGGGGGGAGGGGGCGGCTAAGGGCTGTTAGGATCCATCTGTTTAGTGCTGCCCGCCTTATCCACGCCTAACGGCCTTAACCTCATACTTCTTCTACATACTTTTCCATGATCTTTTAGGTTGGCACTTTCCTAGGGATTCCGATAGTTTTCTTTTCAATATTATTTTCTCCCTTCTCATGGTATGCCAAATCGATCATTTATATTTGTAGACTTCAATGTCCTTATATTTTGAGGATATATGTGAACATTTATTTGTGAACGACAGACGATAGCAGTCTGCAACCCTCCAGGGTATACAATTATAAATGTAATTGAAATCAAGAAAGCTCAGCCGAACTATCAAACTAGGCTATGAATTTAAGGTGCTAATAAATCATCACGGGAATGTTGGACAAAACAAAAAATATCACAGGTTTTCGAGGACTAGTGTTTACGGAAAATCATCTTCTGCCCAATAATCAGTGTTTCTTCCAGGATGGAGGAGAGGAGAAGGATAACGGGACAAAAATTAAAAAACAATAACAAAACTTGCAATATTATTTTTATTTTACTGATCTTAGAACAATCTCCAACACATTTATTTTGCAGTTGCTGGAGCAGCAGGTGTACTCTTTGAGACAGACTCTCTGATAGAATCACCTTTACTTCTTGAGTTGGACCTCTTTCTCTCAGCTTTACGCTCCTTAGCTTCCTTCATTCTCTGTGCTAACAATTTGGTGTACTCTGCCTGTTCTTCCCTTTTCCTGACCACTCTCTTCTTTTTCAATGCTGCACGGAAACGTTTGCGTTGCAAGACGACTGGGGTCACAAGTCGCTGAATTTTAGGGGCTTTGCTCTTGGCTTTCTTGCCTAAAATAATAAAGCAGGTAGCATGAGCAAAAAAAAAAACTATGAAAGTATATCATACTAAATGCTAATGCACAAGTAGGACTAAATAAAGAAATATAACTGACAGCATTTGTCCAACGGTGAAAAAAAAACTGATGTCACAGACAGTAAATCCAAAAAAAAAAAAAAAATATAAATACATCTAGTACATGATACCCAGAAAAAGATAACAGGGTAGAGCTTAGTATTTGAATACTTATCAGAAAGTATCTTTATTGCCTCTTGATAATTTTCTAAATAACCAGTTTTTTTTTATAGACCTTAAAATTTGGTTTAAAAAAAAAGTAGATTTAAATAAAGAAAGAGGATCCTGTCTGCTTGGGCATTTGACCAGATGGGCGAGGGTGCTGTTAGATGTGCCTAAAGAAAGTACAGGGCAAAATTGCTGTAAATAGCCCAATGTTAAATTCTGGACCAGAAACCGAAGGTCGCCCAAATTATTTTTAAATATGATTGTGACTTTCATTGGGCATCAAAATTAGTAGGGACGTTTTGATGATTTTAAAAAATAAAAAGGGGGGGGGGGGGGGGGGGGGGGGGAAAAGAGAGAATTTAATTTACATACCTTCTTTCTCTGGAAGGGGTCTCCTAACAACATACTGTCTCACATCATCTTCTTTAGATAGATTAAAGAGCTTTCTGATTTTGCTTGCTCTCTTTGGACCAAGTCTACGGGGAATAGTCTTGTCTGTAAGACCAGGGATATCTTGTTCACCTAGTGAGAAAAAGTTTTGACAAACCAAATTAATACTGTTAACATCTAATCGCACCAAGTAAAATACTCTTACTATTAGGATAAAAGATTACCTTTCTTAATAATGACAAGAGACAATACACTAAGTTGTCCATCAACAATGCATCCACGAACAGACTTGCGTTTGCGTTCTCCAGTGCGACGTGGGCGGTAGCATGAGTGACCCTTGCTAAGAAGTAGTCTTACTCTAGACACTGTCAGAACACCTTGTTTCATGGGAAAACCTTGCTTGTCATTTCCACCACTAATTCTAACAACATATCCCTAAAACAACAATTTGAATGGTTAAAGAAAAGTTTTTAAAAGGCATGAAATTTTTTTCTTTAAACTGTATTTATATAATGTACCAAGCTTGCTCCAATGGGTAAAGGGATTATCTTCCCCAAGGATAGAAGCTGAATGTTAATGTACACAGACAAAACGATCATCCTGTGCTCAATAGTTAGCGAGGATGTAGCTGGTACTGTGAGAAAAAAACATGGTCCAAATTTGAAATACATTTAATAAGAAAAGCATTACTGTGTATTAGATACATTCTATGCACACCTACCTTCCACTCATCTCCCAAGCTTTCGGCAGAAACCTCAGCTGAAATACGTTTGTCATAAAATGGACGCAGTTTCCTCTCATCATCAACTTCGATCAACTTTTGACAGCCCGTGGCTGGAAAACTGACGTTGAGCTGAAATAAAAAATAAATAAATGTAACATTTGCCTACTTGACGTTTTCAGGGCAATAAATTATCAATCACATGTCACAAGTTTGTTCCACTGAGTAAAAGCAATCAAGATCTTTCTCAAGGATAGAACCAGATTATTATGTACACAGATTAGAACGATCATTCTAAGCCAATTTTAAGCCTGAATGTAGCTGGTACTGTGAATTTCCTACAAGAGTATAATTTTAGTCTCAGAGCATAAATGTAACATTTGTCTACTGAACCTTTACAGGGCAATAAATTATCAATCACATGTCACAAGTTTGTTCCACTGAGTAAAAGCAATCAAAATCTTTCTCAAGGATAGAACCTGATTATTATGTACACAGGTTAGAACGATCATCCTAAGCCAATTATAAGCCTGAATGTAGCTGGTACTGTGAATTTCCTACAAGAGTTTAATTTTAGTATATAGGTTCTGTTAAGCTGCTAAATAATTTTTCAATATTTTACACTCAAGAATTAAGTAAGATTTAGCATTCATTTAGTTCCCTTTTAAACATTGTGCTTAAGTCATGCAAAAGAAAATGTGTAAATTGTTGGACAAATCTCTGCAGAAAAGGTTCTTGTATTGCTAGGCCTAATATAGGCCCTAATGTAATATGCACTTATGCACTGTACAACATGCTCTCAACGTTATTTTAAAAATTTGAATACATATTTGTATCAAAATGTTTAACTGTAGGCCAATAAACCCTTTGAGCCCTGGCCTAATTTCTCCCATTTCCTGAGCTTCCAGGTCCAAACCTATATTCAGCTTGACGACTAGTTTCCATGCAAATTAGATTACAAACAGAATCATCCCACATCAAAGACAAAAATCAACCGTCCTGGAGTCAGCTGATATAGAATCTGGAATATTTTTTACACCAACATTTTCAACTGGTTTGAATGTCGAATCTCAAGCAAAAAAAGAATTATTATCAACACGTCAAGGAGATTGAAGTTTTACAGCACCACGTGCATCAGAATGTACTTGAACAGTTTCATTGTCACTTTCAATTTTAATGTCACTGTTCTAAAATTCAACGTCACTATCATCACAATATAGACCAGGAATATTATCTTCATCAGAATCAATAAGTAGTTGAGATGCCATCATTCTACTTCTTTTGTTGATATTTTGGTCTTTTGCTTCATCTTTTGCATTAACTTTATGTGCTGAAGTCGATGGCTGTGACTCAGCTTTTCGTTTCAGCAGAAAGGCTACGAAATGTAAACACTTTCCCTAAAATCTATTTTTAAATTCATAATCCAGCACTAAAAAGACATGCGCAGTTTTAGTCAGTCTTCCGCTAATTATATTTAATTAGATCATCGGGCCGGAAAACCAGCATTTCTGACATATATATGTTGAAGCCGGTTTACCGGCCTGGTGGGCTCAAAGGGTAAAAAAATATCAGTTCACGTTATAAGAATACCTTTAATTTGCTTTTATTAAAGCATATTCACAGGAAACAATATTAGAGCGAGACAAAAATAATTAACATAATGTCTTAGGCCCTAGGCCTAAAACATTTTAATTACCAAAAGGCATAGGCCCTACTTCTTAAGTCATTAAAATGTATCAAACTTGTTCCAATGGATAAAGCCATTATTCAACTTAACCAAGGATATAAGCTGAACAATTATGTACACAGTGGTTAAAATCCTCCACCCTATAGTTGGCAAGGATGTAGCTGGTACTGTGATAATCACTAATAATCAGTGCATACATTTTTTGGGACTGACATTTAATTAGCCTGAAGAGGTAAGAATTTAAAAAAAAAAATGGGGCTACAAGCCATTTTAACAATCTCTAATGATGATTACTTGAAGTTAGTTAATGAACACCAAATGGTGGCAACGTGACCTACATACATAAATAACCAAAAAAAAATATCATTTCCACATACTTAAGATATGTCTGATCAGTAATCTCATCGGTAATCTATCGTTTTGGGTACGTAAAATCGCCCGCGACTTGTAATGTGAAAACCAGGTGACTCCTTAAATTTTAATAATTATTTCACATTTTGAGGAGGATTTATAATAATTTATATTTTTTAAAATACAAAAATGTTTCCTTGTTTCATTTATGTACCTGTTTTTAAAGAATTGAATTAAAACTTTTCAGTAATAAATGAAGACTAGCGATGTTTCCAACAGATGCGACCATGCTCATTTACTATAGCAGTCATCTTGTTTAAGTTTTATTTTTATAAGCTTTATAAGCGCGAGATCAGTGGGAAGCCACTCTATTTTACAAATGGCTGCTGTTTATATAGCAAATCTTGCTCTCAGACACTGCTGTTTAAAGTTAATTTCAGGCCTATATCGATATATTTAGCCATTGATTTAGGTTTATTATTCATTTATCTATACTATATTTGACACAAACATGACAATATACTCCTATTAAAGCCTTGACAATGAGGTAACGTTTTCGTACATTAATAGCCGCGGGCGATTTTACGTACCCAAAACGATAGATTACCTCTCATCTAGAATAATCTTTTTAAAAATCGTGATTCCAACGTATTTGAAACTAGCCTTTATACAGGGGGAAGACCAAAGTAGAGACAGTGGGCAATCAGATCGCTAAGCCATCAAAACAATGGGAAAACCATTCTACTTTTCATTTAACGTTAGGAAATGACCTTTTAAACTTCATTACCATAAATTAATAACGTATTAGTATGCAAAACCAAATCTTGTGCGCCCTGTATTAGAAAGTAATGGGCGATTTCGGGTCATGTTTTTACCGCGATCTCGGCCGATACCGATAGACATGGATACAAAAACAAATGTAACAGTAGTGTAGTAATACTTTAAACTGAGGATTAATATGCGATACATGTTTTGTATTATAATTGAGAAAAGACAAAAAATTTAAAAAAAAGACAAAAAAAGAAAGATAGATCTTGATCTACACTAAAATTTTTTTAGTAAAAATGAAGCAGTCCAAGCAAGAGACAAGTTTTCCGATACAACCAATCCAAGTGTTCATTAACGAACGGTAGTGCATCAAATGAAAACTGTAGATATATATCAAAGGTTGATATTAAAAATAATTTTTATTACCTATATTTATTGAAATTGACCATCCATTAATGAAAATAACTAAAAAAAATTTACCTTCATGATGCTCTATATGTTGGATTCCCTAATAACCCATGTAAAAAGGAAGTAGTTTTTGTTTCTGGTATGGAACTTCCGGTAAAAACTGTGCTATTAACTTTACAAACGGAACAAAACATAGATCGAATAGGCCTGAACGTAAATTTTGTTAGTCCTAGAATAAGGCCTGAAGTGCGACATAGGCCAAAACTATAGTCTGTAGGTTTTTAAATTACGTTGTTTTTATTACCTCTAGATCTAGATCTACTATGGAAAATAGGCTAAAGTAATTCATATTTGGAGAGATAAAACACTCATCGTGAAATAGCGGCTTTAGTTTTGAGTCTCGAATTTGCCTTAAATGTGTAGTCCACTAGCAAGCGTATTAGAATTTAATGTAAGAACATTGTCCAGTGCTTACTACACAGTGGCGTAGTTATGGCAGAGGTGTAGAGGCTTATTGCGAACTAGCAATTTTGTGCCGCCCCACCATTTAGTCTATATATTTTTTTTCCCGCAAGTTCGGGTCGCCCCATTAAGTTTAATGACTGAATGATACATTGGCCTAGTTAAAGTTTTTTTAGCGCAATTTCAAAAAAAAAAGAAAATTGCGTTTAATAATGCGTCATTTCTGGATGGATGTGTGGATGTATGGATGTGTGTCCGCAGCTTTAAGTCGTATCTCCTCCTCAACGAAGCAATATCGAGGACTAGAATCTAGTTCCAAAAGCAAATATGTTAAGCAAGTTCCAAGGATGATTGTGGGCCAAAAAAATTCCCGGAATTCCTTCCTGGATTTCCCGGAAAAGCCAAAAAACCTCGAACAAATGCAGTTTTTGCTCCATATCTCGGCAACCAGACCACTTGCGACTTGAAACATTTACCAATCGATTCCTGCCATAATTTAGACCAACATTGCCGAAGAAAGTTTTTAAAAATATCCTTTCGTTCGGTCACAAAAAATTAATTAAGAACATTTAAACTGAGCATCGTGTAGGTTTTTAGCGCAAAGCTGGTTCGAAAGGATTTTACCATAGCGAATGAGCGGAGGTTCGAAAGGATATTTTAAAATTTAAACTGAGCATCGTGTAGGTTTTTAGCGCAAAGCGCTGAGGTTCGAAAGGATTTTACCATAGCGAATGAGCGGAGGTTCGAAAGGATTTTTACGTAGGTCTGTGAATTCTAAAAAAAATAATTAAGGAAATCGCGCTTAAATTGTCACTAGACTTTTTATTAACTTTTTTTTTGTTAAAATGTATTTTACAAAACTATCAATTCACTGTTTTAACAATAGCTATAATTAACTTTTAATTAAAGCATATTCAGAAAGAAACAACATTGGAGTCAATTAAAAATAGTTCTACATAGCTTTAGCGAGTGATTTTTCCAAATCAACCAAATAGGACTAGATCTGCCAAGCAATAACTTTTTTTAAAACCGCCTTCGGGCTGTTTTTTTTTTTCAACTGAGGCACCAAGGTAACCCGAAAGATTGACTGTTGAAAAAAAAACTGCTCAATAATTGGAATAATTTCGGAACTTAAAAAATAAGAAACGTATAGGCCCACAAAACAGTGTTTCTTTCAGACTTTTTTTTCCGGGGTGGATGGAGCGGTAGACTTTCTTCGGGGGGGGGGGGGGAGGGGGCGGACACTGTTAAAAGTATATATTTTCTATATAAATTTCATTTCGTTCGGGGGCGGTAGACTTTCTTCGGCGCCCCCCCCCCCCCTCCCCCGGAGAGATGCCTGGAAGAAACTCTGCCACAAAAGGGAAATGTTGAGACAGTAGCATTTTACAATCATCATTTTGTAATAATTTACAATTTACAGCTCACTCCTAATCTATTGACTTAATCAGTATGCTTTTGAAAGCATATTTTTCTAACCAAAATTAAAGAGGCTTCACCACAACTCATCCAGTGTTAATTGACAATAAACATTTTGTGCAAAAACACATCCAAAACTATAGATACAATCAGACAGCACAGAAAGGGATGGATTGCTTGTTTCATAACAACCCCCCACCTTACCCCGAATGCACTAAAAAGTAGAAAATAAATTATAGACTACTATTTAAATAACTATAAAGAAAAGCGTGGGTGTCTTCCTTAACATCAGTAAAGGTATCCAATAGATACGAAAGTGGCCCACGCTTTTCTTTATAGTTATTTAAATAGTAGTCTATAATTTATTTTCTACTTTTTAGTGCATTGGTACATAAAAGCTTGTTATTAAAACGTTTTTTATGAATTTTTTTACAAGCTTTTATTTTACTCGCTTCCTCTGTCGACAGTCTGTTGTCAGTCGTCAGTGTGTCTAGATCGAAACGCCGGAGTGTAAATTCGGACACTTCTATTTGACCGATACGGTTCACACTTGGCACGTGGGCCAAGACATGAAGACAATGCAATCTGAAATTAAATGTGACTTAATTGGATGCCTAATTAATTGTTTATGAATTGATTAAAATTTGGACCTTATAGAGTCCTTGCAAACACGTGACCTAAATCACGTGATACCTACGCCCGCCGCCACAGTGGTGTACATCAGACGTAAACACAATCAGCTGTTCGCCAGCGCTGGACGTGTTCACCGTATGTAAAGAATCGCGCCCGCGGAAAAGGAAAAATATGTTAAAAAACTTGAACTCTTAGGAATTGAAGATCCTTATACAGTTATTGACAGTTTCGTGGATAATATAAATATGTGGCGAAATTTCGAAATAAAAATACTGTTAGTAATAATACCGTTTGCGTTTAGAGTTTAAGTAGACGAAGCCGATCAAATGCAGTAATATATTATAGGTTATCTACTGTAGCAAACGTGAGACCACTTAACTCCTACAAAACCCACACTACAACGGCTAATATAATCCATGGGTAATAACCAATCTGGGTAGCATGTTATACAATTTAAGACCCTTATAATCCACATTAATACTGACGTTCAACCCTCATGATGGCTGCCCCCACCTGTATCTAGCCCACAATAAAACCTAAGAGGAGTCTGCCCTGCCCTCCCCTGAAAATGTCTCACCTCCGTGATACCCAGCCCCACAGAGATAGTATTTCTTATATAATTTTGACCCTCAGGGCCCAGCAGGGAGAACAAAGGGGAAAGTCCCACTGCTCTCCCCTCAACACTTCTCACCTCGGTGTCATGTTATGTCATTTATAGCACACATGGCTTATCAGGGGAAAGCATTAAGGCATTAAGAATCTTAACTCTGGACAGCTACACACTAGTATACTAGCTACACACTAGGTGCCTACTGTAAACTACTAGACTGTAGGCCCTATGTAGACCTGCAATTGTATCAATTGTAGACTGGGTCCATTGTTATTATTCTAAACCATCTCACTTATAATGTTTCTAGCTTGATTTGTTTCTTTTATAAACAGTGGATTAAAAAAAAAAAAATTAGCCTAATCATTAACCAAATAATAATAATGTGGTTATTTGTTGTTGGCTGGTATGATCTAGATTGTACTACTAGGCTACAAAAACTTAGTAGACCAATTACTAGATATGAATTTGAATTTAATTAAACTCAGTCCAGTATCAGATACATATTGCTGTAAAAAGACAACAAAGTAGGTAGGCCTTAGTAATTTATTAAAGCCTTCTACTACAATAATATCAACTACATGCTTGTATTTACAATTTAATTTAAGTAGCAGATTCTAGATCTAAGTCTAGTCATACAATCTATTTCAATTTCAGAAAATTTTGTTTGCTAAAAAAATGATTATGACGTGGATTGTAATGACTGACGAGAAGCCGCGTTGGTTGTTAACAGCCTTTATTATGTACAGATGCCATGTTGCAAAGAGAGGAAGAGAAATGGCGAGAGAGAACTATTTATAGATAACAACATGTAAGGGACATCACTCAAGATAACAATATAAATATAATACTAATACAGAGAGTGAGTTCCCTTGATCTCACAATTAACTCAATCTATTACATCCCTTTACCCTTAGAACACAATAACACATCTCTCAATAGAACAATTGATAGTATCCTAAAATCACCAATTATATTGTAACATGCACTATGGTAGATTACATCCTTGCAAACAATGCACAATATGCCACAACATAATCAAAATACAAAACAATGATGTCAAAGTCCTTTTGACCTTTAGAATCATAGGTCTAACTTATTTGGGACTTTGATTGTCCTGCTTGACCTTCTCAAAGGCTTTTGATTTGGTGACTCAAGATTCTGACCATCTGGATTCTCTATCTCAGGAGGTCTAGGATTTAAATCATTAACTCCAGAATTTACATTTTCTGACTCTAGACAACTTGATTCACTCATATCAACAGAACTTGGTTGTGGAACAAACTGAGTTGGTGTGAACTGATCAGACTTGGTGGGATTGATAGATTCACACTTATTATCTGCACAAGTTATTTTTAACTTTATAAGGCACAGGTCCTGTACATTGAACAATTTGACCTGGTATCCATTTTTCCTTTCTCCCATAATTTCTTAGATACACATTATCATTAACTGCAAATTCTCTTTCAATGGATGATTTGTCATGATTTACTTTTTGTGTATGTTGATGTTGGGAAACAGACCTTTGAACAGTTGGATGTAGTAGGTCAAGATGAGTTTTAATTTTCCTACCACATAGCAATTCACATGGTGCAACACCTGTTGTTATATGAGGAGTTGTGCGGTATTTGGTTAAGAACCTGTTTACTCTTTCTCTAAGAGAAAACTTGTTACCGGTATTCATTTTTACCATAGCGGTTTTGAATATGCCTACCGCTCTTTCAGCTAAACCATTCCCAGCAGGATGATAGGGGGATGTGGTTATATGCTCAATACCATTTGCCACACAAAACAGTTTAAACTCATGAGCTGTGAAACTAGGCCCATTATCTGAAACAATTTGATCTGGTAATCCATGAGTTGAAAATATTTCCTTAAGTTCTATAATGGTATCATTTGCAGTGATTGTGTTCATGATTTTAACTTCTAACCATTTAGAATGTGAATCAATAACAATTAAGAACATTTTGTTCATGAAAGGTCCTGCGAAATCTATATGTATACGTTTCCATGGTTCAATTGGCCAGTCCCAGTTTTGCAAAGGTGCTGTAGCTGGTTGATTTGAATGTTGTGCACAGC